GTAATCTTTGCTGCACTTCGATTTGCATTTGCATTGTGTCACCTAAGGGCATGTGTCTGCCAAAACCGTAACAACATCTACTAAATAAACTCGAAACTACGCCAAAAAAACAAACAATGTTCTAAGATTTTGGTTCTTACTTTGTTGTCTGGGCTTCGATGCTTTGTGTCCTAATCTGAGTTCCATTCATTTCAGTTATTCTATCTGCTGTGTCTGCTATCAAAATATAATTGAATTTCTCACATTATATCTATCTATGTGTGTGTTTTCGATACTTTATGTTCAAGCAATTTAAAGATTCTCTTACAAGCTTTATTTCCTCCATTGTTAGCTTGTCCAAGAACATTCTTACTGAGTCTGTATTTCTGCAAGAAAAGTTAAGAATGTAAGAAGCATTTTGCAGAGATCGAATATTGTTCAGTTGGGAGTACCTGAAGATGGCTCTTCAAATGGTACAAGGTTAATCCTTGAATCCCCATAAGTTTCAAGACTGCTTTCGGAGTAGCTTCTGCAATGCGATATATTTAGTCGAATGCAGCAAGACAACATTGTTTGGTACTCGTAAAGTTAAAAAAAATTATTACAATCCCTTCTTACTTTCAGCTCCTCCCAACTGGTTTACTGCTTCGACAAAACGCTCATGGAGGTCGGGAGTCCATTTTAGCCTCGGCTTGGCATCGGTGGAAAGCATCAGCCTTGATGAAAGGTGAGGGCTCTTTCCTTGCTGATAATACATACACATATATATATATCGGATCGTTTGATAATCTGATGTTATATATCTTCCACTGCTCTTATATTTCACTCCTCGCTGAATGTTGTGTTTGAGGATGTCTTATAAGGACAGGGGACGAAAAAAGAAGGATGCGAGAGTAGGGGACAAGCGAGGCATAGAATCTCGGACAAGGTGAAAAAACAGTAAGATCCAATCCAATCTTATCACCGAGGCGAAAAGCTATCACACACTTCGTTTATTTCTTGCATTGCATTCGTAGGTCCTTACATGCAACAATAGCATACTGAAAATTCTCTGAGAAATTTTTTAAATTTGTTTATAGTTCGTCGAGGAATAGATCCACATCCTTATTCTTTCTTTTCGTTGCACGCATACTTGTCAACTGCAGAGAGAGACTACGAACCGGATTCCCCGCACCAACGGTGGAATCTTGTCCTTGCACTAATATAGATTGCGAGAATCCACTACATATTATGTCCTAAAACATACTGAGTTTCAGAAGATTCTGTTGACTGAAGCATCGGATACATAGAGAAAAAGAAAGAAAGAATTCTATGCATATAGATGCTTCCTTTCGACTTTTGTTTGGGTAACAAATGTATTTGTTTCCTTCTTACTCAGTATGTCCTATTTAGTTTCGTCGTGTCATGATCAGTTAGTGTAATGTCTCGACCTAACATTAGATCTTGGATGTTGTCTTGAGGCTAAGAACGACGTGTCGAATACATTCCTTTTTGTCTCCTTTGGTAAGTTTGGTACATATTCATCCTAGAGGGTGGGAGACGAGGTCCCCGGTTAGATCTTTAAAATTCTTGAAATGGCATCAAGAACTATCTGGTCCCGACTCATGGGAACCTTTCGAAGAGAAAGTAATTAAAGTGATTGTACTCGATCCAATTCTTGCATCTGCTACTCGGACATGAACCTAGTATGCATAACAACATTGTCTTGTGATTATCATTAGTATTAATCTTTACGTTACATTGATATGTTCTTTGTAATATCTTTGCCTTTTACTTGATGCTCAGCTCAGGATTGAAGATCGAAACAATGGCGCGCTCCGAGGTTGTCATGGAGCAACAAAAGTCATCCATTCGACGACATTGCTTGTAAGTCGTTGCTCGCATTCAATCTGTAAGGAATGTGTGATTCTTCTGGTTTGATCTCCCTTTTCCTTTGGACTCGTCAACGTACTTTTGGTTATACATTTGTATTATATATATCCCGGTAAAAATGACGATGACGACGACGGAATCGTATTCGATGCAGGGGAGGGAAAGTGATGGAGGGAATCAGAACTCAAAGTAAAGAAGGATTCTTCAAGTCAGGAATGTTTTGCTTTTTCCTTTGCTGCTGTTAAGGCCACACAACACAACACAATGGGTTCTCTCTTTATCCCTCTTTTATTTTCTTTTTCTTTTTATTTTCTTTTGCCAAAGTTTAATTAAATTGAAAGATGCCCTTATCTTTGTGTGATTAATTTACCTGTTAATTTAATTTAATTTAATTTATTTTTTGTATTCTTTGCTTATATATGATATGATGTGTATGTATGTCCTTATCTTCAAAATTTGGCCTATTTGGTGTGCTGACATTCCCGTTTGTCAAAATTGACAAGTTTATGGTATTTGGATTGGATGATAATTTGTGTTAAAATGTCTTGTGTGGCTTTTGATTGATAGGTTTTCATTAGGAAGCCTTAATTGAAATTGAAGTGATTTATTTTCAAATATATATCTTGTCATTGCAATAAAAAATAAATATTTAATTACAGTTTGAACTCATGACCTCGATCACAAATTCAATCCCAACCATGCCATGGAAAGTCCTATTTATAGGTCTTTATTTTTATGATTAATATTAATGCAGTTTTGGGGTTACCCAAAATTATTTTGAAGTTTATCTTAGTATTATGAATTTTGAGGTTTTAATAGTTTTGAGACTTGTGTAATTTATAAGTGAACTATTAAATTATTAAATGATTTTTGATACGTTCTTATTTAGTGTAAAATAAATATTTGATTGAATGTATTTGATTTTTTATTTTTTTAAATGGTAAATACATTATAGTAAAGTGGGCCGAACTTTTGCCTAATGGAGCTAAAGTGTTGACCTGGGCTGGATTTTGTGAAATGGGCGGGCCTCCTAAAGTGGGCCGGATTTAGTATAATAAACCGGGTTTGTGAATGTGGATTAAGCGGGCTGGGCTTATATAATAAAAATATGGGCCCATAGAGTTAGGGCAATGTGCTTCCCCCCCTTCTAAATTGATTAAATTATTGAAGCAATCGAATTTGGCATCCAATTAATGTTGGAAACTGGAGTTGGGTATATTTTAATTTAAAGATAAAATTCTTTTTATAAGCCTTTAATATAAAATTATAAAAATTCATTCGTAAGGTGTTGCATTATAACCTTTATGTTGTACACATAATCAATACGCCTACATAAATGGATGCATTTAATCAAATCAGCATAAAGGCTACACAGAGGTCTTGTTGGCAATTTCATAGCCATCTGTTATCATCTCCATTTAATATATATATGTGTATGTTTCACAATGTAAAAAGAAGAAAATGCATGAAGGAAACAAACATTTACAGTTACTCCACCAAATCTTCTCGTCAACAATATCATACATACATTTATATATACATACATACATTATATAATATAATATATATACAATAGCCTACATACTATATACATATATATATATACACACTCACACACACGTCTATATATATATATATTTACTTATATATTACATACAATATATAATATACAAAATATAAAATAGTGGTTAGCTGTATAAATAATTAATATTTCTATTGGCTAATTCTATAATAATATTACAATATTTTACTATTATTATTATTATTATTTTAAAAAATAAGATTAAGAAAAGGCGTATAGTTGAACTATTTATGTTCTTCATGTAACATTCAAGTAATCATTACCTATGGAATGCTCATATGGGAAAGTTGACATTCTTTCTTTTTATATTAAGTGAACAAATCTAACTAATCAATATTTAATTTTCTTTATGAAAAAAAAATTCATTTTAAGTTAAGCTTTACTTGTTTGAAAATATTTTATATAATATTTTAGATTTAAATAGTATTAAATATGATGATATTGTTAATTTGCTCAATAATAATAGTAATAACATTGTAGGGCAAAATTCATTCACATTCTCTACTGAAATTTATTTATTTATTTTTATAATTTCACTTTTTACTATGATTTTTTTGTTATCTAGAAATTTTAAAATCTAAAAAATTCTTATACACTGAACAAATGCAATTAAATATTTTAAAAATAAAATAAAAATATATTTAATTATTATTTTACGAAAGAATAAGTAATATTAAAAAGCTATATTACCAACACTTAAGCTCAAGTAGCTAAAAAATATGCAATTAGTCACACCAACTAATTTTACAATAATTATATGACAGGTAGTTCTTTTTATCGCATAACTACGTCCTCGAGCTCGGGACTTGAATTTCTTCGTACTAGTATCCTCGTTAACCTCAACTTTACTAATTAGTAAATTGAATAAACTAATTAACAATCACCATGTGATGTTTTAAATCAATAGTAAAACATAAATATAATACTTTTAGAATAAATTTAAATGATTGAGTAATAAAATAATCATAAAAATTCTACTAAACAAAATTAAACAAACATACCCTAATTAAATACTAATCCCTCCGTACTAGAACTATAGTTTGGGTTGTGTTTGACACGAGATTTAAGTAATATTGATATTACATTGGTAGTGGATAAAAATATGAATAAATAACTTTTTTACCCTTGTGAGTGTACTTGCGTAAAAAGCGTGGTAATTGTCTAATATTAGTAAAAAAATAAATATAGTTTTACAGTGATATAGTTATTTATGGAAATGATACATTGATTTGGTACAGATAAAAATAGTAAAGAAAAATTATTATAAAGATAGTTTTACAATGATATAGTTATTTATGAAAATGATACATTGATTTGGTACAGATAAAAATAGTAAAGAAAAATTATTATAAAGATAGTTTTACAGTGATATAGTTATTTATGAAAATAATACATTGCTTTGGTACAGATAAAAATAGTAAAAAAAAATTATTATATTAGAACAGAGGGAGTATCTATTATCTTAAATTTAACCGTATCATTTAAAATGAAACTGCTGGAGATTATAATTCTTAGTTTAGGTCTGCTCGTCAGCAAATCAATTTTGTACATGTGAGGTGAGCGCAGCATCGTAATCATCGCCTGGCTGGCGGCTTTGGGGTGTAAAACGTCGTCGTTTTGATTTTGAGATGTGTCAGAATTCAGCTGTTATAAATACCGCGGCAGAGATCGAGCAGCAGTCACTGCGTTTTCGTGGGAGGAGGGACACACAATGGCTGCTGTCGATTGAGCGATGGTCGGGACAGGAACAAAGTAAGTCAAATTATGAGTTTTTTCCGATTTTTAAATTCAATTTTGTTTTTGCTGATTTTGATTATTTCTGTTTGATGAGATGCCCAATTCAATTTAGGGTTTTGAAATATATATATACACGATGGTGATGAACCCTAGGTTTTAAAATATTTTTATATATTGGGTTTAGGGTTTGGATTTTGTATTAACATCGAAAAACTTGTTTAATTGGTCAGGTTTTTCTTAGTTAAACATGATAGATTGAAGTTTACCTAGGTTTTATATCTTTTTTTGGGAATTCATGGAGAAGCTATTATTATTATTATATTATTATTTTTTGTTTTAATTTGCTTCTTGATCATTGGATTGGATTCTATTTACAGCACAATAATTATTATTATTAATAATTTGCTTCTTGATCATTGGATTGGATTCTATTTACAGCACATCAATTGCTAGGATTGTGTACTTACAGAAACTAATTGAAGTTCACTTTAGGGTTTTTACTTATAGAAACCAATTGCTAATACAAGAAAAAAAAAAAAATGAAGAAGAAAAATCCAAATACTAATTTTCTAATTGATTGTTGAACTCTGCTTTGATGATTGGGTTTTATAAATCTTCTCTTTTTCTTGAACAAGATGATTTTAAGTTCATTTAGCATTTTTGTACTTTTCTGGTAGAAACTCAACTCTTGTTTAAGAAAGAAAAACCTAAAATGTTGTTTTTAATTTGTTTATTGATCATTGGAATTTGTTATGATAATTTGTGTCGATCACGACTCGACTATAATGTTAAACTTACTATAGTAATTCTGTAATTGTATTTAACATATTGCTTTCATATATTTTTATGTTATAAATTGACGGTGTTATGTAAATATATCATTTTTTTTACTTTTGTATGGACAAATATATATAGTTTTTAGATAATTTTTATCGCATTTGTTTAATGTTTGAAAACATATATTTGTTGCATTCACTTTAATGAACTCATTCTAAGAAACTATATTTCTTGCATTCGGTGTTTTGTCGCATTCATTTTAATGAATTCATAATTCCGACAAAGTATATTTCTTGCATTCGTGTTTTGTCGCATTCACTTTGATAAACTTGTTTTTTTAGTTATGAGTTTCTATGTGACAATGTTAACTATACCGTGTGTTTGTTTGAAGGATTTTGGTGGATTTCCAGTATTCATCCAATTTTTTTCCCCCAAAAATATCAAATCAAACACCTATTTTTCATTTTTTATATTATACTAAAAATCAATTTTACATTCAAAACATCACATCAAACCCTATTTATATCACATCATACAACTATTCAAATTCAAAATTTTTACTATTCAAATCCCAACTCAAAATCCAAACCCCCAAACAAACACACCCTAAAGTAAAATGAGATCTAACTTAATGTTGTTGTGTACATATAAGCAGGTTTTAAAGTGGAAAAATGTTTCTAAGACGGAGCAAGAGGCTCAATGAGTAAGTTTCTAAATCTATTATTTTCTACTAGAATATTAAATTTTTAGACTTCTTTGTTCAATTAAGAATACATCTTAATTGAGACAAATACTTTTTAGTTTGAATGTTGAAAAATTTACAGTAAATTTCAATTTTGATCTTCATGGATTTTTAATCCATGTTTCTTTATAGCCTTCTTCACTTAATTTTTATCTTTAAAGATTTTTTTTTTTTAAACTAATCACACATTCTTATTTAATTAAATTATTTATTTTTTTTGCACTTGTTTTGCTTGTCACACTCACTTTCATTAACTCTTTGCCTTCTGATTTTTTTTTTTTTTTTTTATCAGAAATATAATCCTCTACACCAACAAGTCATGTGTCTACTTTTGTTCGACTCGTTTGTCTGAATCATAGACATTACAGTTCATTTGTTATCATTTTTGTTTTCTTCATTATGGTTTATTTTGTGTTTCATTACTAGCAGATTGGCTAACACAAGCGGCAGCAACAACAGAGTTTCGAATGAGACAGCAGAGCAAGAGGCAAGATCTGATCTTTCAAAAGAGGTTCTGGAATTGATTCTTTCGCGGTTAAGCCTCATAGACAACATCCGCGCATCTGTTGTCTGCAAGAATTGGCTGGCTGCTGCTGTTTCGGTTCGGAAGATAAACAAAATTCCATGGCCGATGGATATCCCTGAACGCAGCTGGTTCTTCAGCTTTTATGATCTAACACAAGGCAAAACACATTGGCTTACATTGCCAGGGCTAAGACCTGCTGCCATCTACTATGTCAAGTATGGTTGGTTGCTTAGTTTCGACCATTACACTTGCCGACTCTTTTTCACAAATCCATATACTCGGACAGAGATAGAATGCCCCAAACTAGAAGGGAATTGGAATAAAGTGGCCTTTTCTGCTCCTCCAACATTGCCGAGTTGTATAGTCTTCACAGTGGATGAGGTGACACCCGACTCTGTTGCCATCCACACTTGCCACCCGGGGGACAAAGAATGGACTACCATGGTATGTGAAAACAACCGTAACTTTTGTTGCAGCCTATATAATAGGATTGTTGTCTGCAACGGAATTTTTTATAGTCTCAGTACAACTGGTTGGGTGGGGGTTTACCATACAGAACAATGTTCTTGGAAAGTTCTCCCGATCAGTCCCCCTAATTGTTTGGAGATTCCACCCGTTGGTGATTGGTGGAAACAAAGATTTTTAGCGGAGTATGATGGTGAGATTGTCGCGGTGTATGCTCAGATCGGCGTTGTAGCAGCTGTATATAGGTTAGATGAAGTCCATGGGTTTTGGGAGAAAATAGAGGATCTGAATGGAAGGACTTTCTTTGCTAGCTTAGTAACTTCCTATATCAAAGCAGATTTGCCGGGAAAAATGGGGGACAATATTTATTTCCCAAGGGTTCAATTTCACAAGCAGCACCGCATCATGTATTCAATGCGCAAGAGAAGATACTATCCGGGAGTGAAGGCTTTCGACCTCAGCGATGAGTCTCTTCTTACCAACTTTTGGATTGATTCCCCTGAAGGTCCTATAGGCGGTTCTTGAGACATTGATTATTGTAGAAAATGGTCGCGTAAGAGTACTTGTCTCAGACTTAAACTATCATTCGATTTCTTTTCTCTTTTATTTTCTTGAGTTTAAGAACTCGGCCATCTATATGTTGTGTTGAATATTAAACGATTATCTTATCTAAAAATTTAAATTTTAGAGATATACACATCATTAATTATTTTATAGTCAAGAAACATTGAGAATGTGCATAAATGCGCCAAAACCATTCATGATTTGTGAATGCTGGATAGTGTGATTGAGAATGCGCATAAATGGCATCAATTAGTCCTTCGCCTTCTTTTGCACCATTTTTGGATTACCTTTTTTTTTTTTTTTTTTTTTTTTTAATGTCTCATTCCAAGTTTGAAGTATATTGTGTATATTCCAATGCTGATAAATTATATGTTTAAATAGGATCCCATAAATCAATAATTCAGCATTGCTGAATTTAATTAAGACAATCGATTCAAAAAATACATTTAAATCGACTAAACTATCCTTGTTCTTACTCAATTTACATGTTGAATTATTTTTTCACATTAGCATATTATCCAAGACCTTATATCTTACAGATTTATTACAAATCCTCACCATTATTATACAATTATGACCTATTTATTAATGCACTTACCCAATTAGAAATTTTTATTAAGGTAACAACCGGAGAACAACAAAAATCGAAAAATGACAAAAATACCATATAATATGCTCATTTCTTAAATTCAAGCATTACTGAAATACAATTTTAAAAACAATAAAAACCAACATATAATTCGAGAACAACAAAAACCGAAAAATGACAAAAATCGAGCACCTGAATTGCAATCGGAAAACACACATAAGCACACTAGAAACAGAATCAAGGCATAAATTATCGCACTCGAAAAACACAATCAATGAACAAACCGAAGTGGATGATTTCTTCGAAAAAATTCCATCAAAAATTTTTGAAATAAAATATAGTAAGTTAACCGTAGATTTATTACAAATCCGCTTGAAATAAATGGCAACTAAATAAAGTAAGGACGTTTAGCTGTTTCATGTGAGAGAACCTGGTGTAATGCACCAGCCACGGAGTAGCATTTCCATTTCCAGAACTTCAGTATTGCGCAACAGTCAGTCCAATCTGTCTTAATCAGCAAGGTCGCTTTGCGTTTATTCTGCTCAGCTCATCTCAGCTCTTCCACAATCATGTCTTAAAGGAGGAGCAATCGATCGAATAAAAAGTATGGTTTCTTCATTTTGTAAATTCGTGATTAAGCTCAGTAGCTGCAGTTTAGTGTTTTCCTTTTCACCTGTGGTTGATTGGTGTTTGAATCGAAAATCAGTTGGAACTTATAAGGAATTAAACCCTAAGCTCAGGATATGTCGTGTCGATATAATTGAGATAATAAAATAAAGCTAATTATATCTTACATGATTCCATTAGCACTGTCAGATTCTTCTGATCCGCGACTTAATTGGGAGTAGTGTGTTCTTCGAGCCTATGGCGCAACTCCTCATGAGAAAATCGGTAGGGTTTCTGCGTTGCTCATATGAAAAGTAATGGACGCTGCGCAACTTAAACCTGCGATTACAACCCTGATTTATATCCGTTATTATTATATTCTAATAGATCGCTTAATCTGACTGATAGTCTATTAGTTACATTTAACCTGGATATTTAATCCAAACAAACTCTGAGATTGGCTTGGACATGATTTCAATGAAGTACGTACGATTTGGTGTGTTTGAAACTTAATTTCTGTGGAATTTGCTCGATTTGGCGTGTTGTTTTTGCCTTTGCACATTTGAAAATGGTGTTGGGGTTGGATAGGCCTCTTCTTAATAGAACAAGGGATTTTTGTTAGTTTAATTTTTATGTTTTAGGGTTTGGGCATCAGCAGTGTCTTAATTGTTCCAATTAATATCAAAATCATTAATGTTGGTTATTATGGAATTGATTTGGAACTCATCATTTTATTTCAAAATCAGTTGTGTTTGAAGTGTCCCAATTAGTACATTACCTTTGGTTTAATTCTTCCAATTGCAGATAATCCCAAAATATTCCAAAACAAAAGATGATTATAGAACAAATCATGTCCTCATTAAGCTCTGGGGACAAAGGTCGAGCTAGCTGTGTTTGTCGAAAATGGCGAGACATAGCAACGTCTCTCAAAAAGACAAACTGGCCTCCGATGATTGTGCTGTCCGAAAGAAAGATGGCTTCTTTGATATATGCGACCTTTCTTTGATGCTGAGGCGTGATTCGATACTTCTTTTCCCAGAGATCCTGCAAGTATTAGATTGGAATTAATAGATCAGACTGAAAAAATAAAATAAAAATGAACTAACAAATTTTGATGGATAAATACGCAGATTAAATCTTGAGACGGCCACTGTTGACACGGCTTCATGAACTATATATATGTGCGGCATATATGTATAAAATATGTGACAAACATGCACTAATACAAGACTTCTTTATCATATAATGGAACGCTTATGACCTACGGACATTTGAAATTTTCCTTCTATGCAGAGAGATAGAATGCTCCAAACTAGAAGAGAATTGGAATGAAGTGGCCTTTTCTGCTCCTCCAACGTCGTCGAGTTGTATACTCTTCACAGTAGATGAGGTGACACCCGATACCGTTGCCATCCACACTTGCCGCCCGGGGGACAAAGAATGAACTACCATTATATATGAAAACAACCTAAGATCTCGTTGCAGCCTATATAATAGGATTGTTTGGAGTATAGTCTCAATATAACTGGTTGGGAAAAATTGCAAAAAATATCCCATGTATATTCTATTATTATTTTTTTCATATACTTATCTAGCTAGCAAAATATATCCCATATGTTTGCAAAAGTTACTATTTCTATTTTTTGGTCGCGTATGATCGAGCGTGGTGTGAACGTCACGTCACGCGCTGCCAAATGATATAAATAACAACTTTTGTAAATGTGGGATATATTTTGACCGAAACATAAATACATGACAAAAATGATAATGGAGTATACATATAATATTTTTTGCATGGGTGGGATTTTATGGCCCAAAATAACGTTCTTGGAATGTTCTCCCGATCAATCCCCTAATTGTTTGTGATTCCCCCCAGTTGGTGATTGGTGGAAACAAAGAGTATTAGCGAGCATGATGGTGAGATCGTGGCAGTGTATGCTCAGTTCGGAGTTGTAGCAGCTGTATTTAGGTTAGATGAAGTCCCTGGGTTTTGGGAGAAACTGGAGAATCTAAATGGCAGGACTTTCTTTGCTAGCTTTGTAACTTCCTATATCAAAGCAGATTTTCCGGGAAAAATGGGGGACAATATTTATTTCCCGAGGTTTCAATTGCACAACAAACGCCGCCTCATGTATTCAATGCGCAAAAAAAGATACTATCCCGGAGTGAATGCTTTCGACTTGAGCATTCAATCTCTTCTTAACAACTTTTGGATTGATGCCCCTGAAGGTCCTGTAGGGATGGAATAAAACCTTATTGGTTGGATTGATTAAGGTAGTAGATCTAAGAGTGGCAACACTCTTCTCCAGAAGCACTGAAACTTCTTACATTAAGGAAAACATGCTGGTGTGAATGAGAGACATGGGATGGAATGCATCCGGTATTTTATGTGCGAAGAAAAATACTATCCGAGTACGTTGCTTAGTATATTAAAAGATGCTGAATATATATTTATATATTAGAGATTTGTTTGGACAAATTCCATTATGCCATAGAGCTTATTTAAAAGATGACAATAGACGAACCTATCTAATTCACCCATGGATTCGTCGCCAAATTTCAAATCATTGCAATTTTTCCATCATAAATTTCAACTTCTATTCTTCACACTAGATATATAGATTCACTTGTTTAATTTCATCCCTAAAATGCTCAGAAAATTTCAAATCAATGTGATTTGTCAAACATAAATTTTTCTCGCAACTATATATATATATATATATGCTTTGCGATCAATGTTGTATACAAATTTATTAACTTTAAGATGAGACTGCATTTTTACATTGTCTCTCTAATCATATTCATTACATTAAATACTGACCCAAGAGTAGGAAATATAGGCTTTTAAGCACTTTTCCTAACTGATATATAATAGTACATATAAAATGGTAATCGCGTGCAACATGCGTGCGCTTCCCATGCATCGTCTTCGAAATACTAACTTTGGTAGGAGTGCAAAAAGAAAGACCACCATTATTACTATTACAGAATTGTAAAATCATGTTAAAGAGAACAATAGAAAGACTGAAAGATTTAAGTCTAACGGTGTAGATTTGATAAAGAATACATCAAGTATTTATAAGTCTAATGGCATTCGAGGGGATGGATGTATAGTATTCCTTCACACTTCAACTTGGTGCTTCACAATACAACAATTACATGGTAGGAAATTATCATGTAACTAACAAGTCTCCTTAGTCCCGAAGGGCGAGCTTTGTCCCAAAAGCTTTATGGTGCATCCGTGCAAATGACAACCATACTTTCCGATTCATTTTGAGAATGTCATCCCTCTCTTTCATCTCTGGATCTTTGCTGATGTCCATCCAGATGTCCGGGAATTTTCTTATAATCAGATATGGACGGTGCTCCAGATTCCTATAGAACTTCTTCAATTTCATAGAGTACACTAAGCAGTGCCTCTCTGCATCCACGATCTCTGGGAAATACACGCAGTTCTTCATGACATGCGGGAGATCATCCCGGATGAGAGATGTAATGGTGCTTGAGAAGAAGGTTGCACCGCCTACGTCTTTAACCTTGTACCACCTGTAGCTAACTTCATCCAACTTGTAGACATTTGCTGGCCGGTAGCCCCTAATGTGCACTAGAAAGAAGTCGCCTTTGTACTCTGCCATGAAGATGAAATATTCCCACCTAAGCTTGTTCATATGCTGAATGGATTTTAGGCGCTTGCAGGAGCGAGCTCCCCATGTACGCCTTACCGGATCAAACACTCCGATATCTCCAAACATATTAAAACTGTAGAAAATTCCATAGCGAACCACAATACTTTTCCAGCAGGAGCTGCAGGATGGATTTTCTTCGCTGTAGTCACCAATAATTTTCCAAGTCGAGCTTATGGATGGATGATCATATTCATACTTGGAAAGTGTCCATGCCGTATCCCCCGGGCACCAAGTGACGGCATTGACACACGCCTCTGTGTTGCAACTGTGCAGCAGGAATACAACACAGTTTGTTGAGGTTGGAGGAGCTGAGAAGGCGGCTTTACAGAACTTCAAATCTATTTTTGGGAGCTCAATCCGGTTTGCAGAGTGAGGGTTGTAGAAAGTCATTGCCCCAGTATCCGACTCGTGGAACAGCATCCAACCATCCTTGGCATAACAAACATTACCGCCTGGTCGATTTGGATGTGGGATGCTGCTTGAGCGACAGGAAGCAAGGTCGCAGATACCAATGTTGCCATTGAAATCGAAATAAACAAATTTTGGAGGGCGGTGGATCCTTTTGACAGAATATGCAATGTCTCGCCACTTTCTAGATACAAGACTTGCTCGAGCTCTATCCTTAGAGCTTAACAAGGACAGGATCTGTTCTAAAACATCGGAAGGAAGGTCCAACTCTTGTTTTCGTGGGATCCTGATCCGTTTGCTAACATTGCTGCAAGATCTGAAATTACACAAATAATCCAAGAGTGAGAATATACAGAAACTAGCATAAACTAGCTAAGCACAATATGTGACAAGTCAAAATCAATACCATATAACATGAAATGAAAAAAATAAGTACGAACACTCTGACAAACATGGGAATAAAGATCAATTCATTTTGTATCACTATCAATTCAGGCTTTACAAACTTCTCGGATCAAAACTTCTTTGGAAAACTAGGAGCTTCACTCCGGAAGGCATCTTCGGATAATGCATTCTTTTTTAAAATGGTAAATATATATGAAAGCAGACAAGCACATTATGACAGTGATCTTGAATTAGACTTAAAATCTCATTTATTGATCATACTAGTCAATTCATCTATGAGGACAAGTAAAAGCAAAGCGCCGTATAAGTTAACCTCAAAATATACCGACACACGTGTAAAAGGAGACATGTATCAAAGCAAATTGTTCGCTCACAAATGTCAACTTTACCAACAAATTATTATCCTACTAGAAGAGTACTAATTGTCTTGATCATAACCAATCCCATTTAAGAAAACTAGAAGTGTCGCGCCAATAAAGAGATGTATTGCAACTGAGACCTTAAGCACAACAAGTTTTCATTTCACATAAAAGGCAAGGGAGAAAAATAGATGCTTGAACTTAGACTGAGTATCTATTATTTTCTTTTATTCTTTCTTTTCAATTGGGAAAATAATTAAAGATCCACAGTCGAGGGTTCAAAGACAACTGATGCTCAAATCTTACTACAAAATGATTAAAATACAGATAAATTAGTGTGGCAGTCCCAAACCCTAATGTGGATTTCAAATGTGTAAGGCCAGCAGCACCTCGCCGAATCAAACATAATTAAATTCAGACACACCATCAAGAAGATGCCCAAACAATATTATATAAATATATGTATACAAGGCTTGAAGTTCAAGCACACCAAACCCTATTTGGTTCACACTATCAGGCTGTAATTCAAACCCTAATTGATTCGTTGAAGCAATAATCAACCACACAAAAAACAAAGAAACTGCAGTTACTGAAGTGAATGAATTTACAGAATGAAGAGACCGTACGCTATGGATTTCGACAAAACGTTTGTTTCAGTCATGATTACGGCGGGTTGCGGAGCAGTGAAAACACAAGAACAGAAAAGACCGACAGTAAGAATTCCTTTCAAGAGGAGCACCCGATTACTTCTTTTCCGTATATATATATATATATATATAGTGGGCCTTTGAGCGGAAATTGTGTCCTGTTACCTCTCCTCGCTCTATTATTATTTTTATTTTTGATGTTATGACAACCTGGCCCGCTGATATAATAACTTGCAATTTACCTTGGTTGGGTAAATCATACAGGAAGACCTTGTATAAAAGTAGTTCAAGCCTATAGGTATAAATTCGCAACATTCTCATAATTAAATAATACTAGTTAAACCATAATCAATATTTCATCTTTAACTTGACAATATAGCAAATAAAGTTATGAATTTGATCCAACCAATTTTATCATTCTATCCAAATTGAATAAAAAATTTGTATATTTAATGTATGCAACAATTTAAAATACATTAGAAACATTTAAAACTCGACCATGAGTATTTCTAATTTAAATTCTTATTAAACACATCAAAATATTACTCTTTCAAGCATATAAATTTTTAATTGCGTTTTCTACTTTTCAAATTATGATAACTTATATTAAGAATAATGAATAAAAATAATTTTCGGATAGATTCTCATTATTGAAATTGCATATCAAACTTGAATACTTTCCCATACCGGTACTTATATCCTTAAATGTCTTGTGTTTCCCCAAAATCAACACATCAATTAGACTGTATACAACAATTTTAATTTTGTTCAAGAACATAATAAATATTAAGCTCTTAAGAGTCAAATTAATATCTCAACTTCGTAGGTATGCATAACAATTTCATATTTATCCAATCTTCAACTCTCGACTTTGATTGCAGGATGAAATATAGATAGATTGAGTCCTGTAGCAAAATTTAAATTCCTAATCTAAAGTGAAAGTAGCAATCTTCGAAAAGAGGGTGAAGGTAACTACTGCGTTAAGAATGATGATATTTTGGATTCGAAGTTTATTCCTCTCCTGATCCCGCCAATCGATCTGCTTTGTTTTCCTCTTCACATCGCATCTCTAAGTTGTAGATATTTGTTGCAGGAGCTGTTCACGTCAAGCCCTGGTTTAATTTATCTCTACTTATTTATTTATATATTGTATGTATAGATATGTATATATATATTTCAATTTTTCTACTTGCTACAGCTATGGCGCAAGCTGTTTACTCCTCTTCAACTCCGATGGTCCAATGGCGTTATTGACTGTGCAAATCACCTTGATAACACCACCTTTAATTTTTTTTTTAAATTTTTCTGCAACATTCAATTTTATTTGGAACATGAAACATACAACCAAGACCTCATGAATTTACTATTATGAATCAAGAGGTAGCGACACTTTTTATACAAAAAAACATCGACCATGTTAAATATATGGATAGGTAACTAAATATTCTATATGCTACAATATTAAACTCAAAATTTAAAAAAACAAGCGAAAAAAATAATATATTTACGTAAAATTGAAGAAATTAAAGTTAAAGGAGCATATTTTTTTTGGTGTAGATGCAGGCTAAAATATAGCATCCAACGGATGCTATCAATCTTTCATCTAAAAAAATAATTATGCAGAACACATACAATTGCATGCGGCTTTATAATGGTTAGCTAACTATAGTGAGTGAATGATCTTACAGAGCGCATTGCGTTCACATGCCCCTGGGAGACAAATGGAACCATGTTATGAATTAATGATTATTTGTCTTTTAGACAAACTAAATGTTCCTTTTTAATAAAAAAGAGTTTTTCGTATTCACTTTAATGTCCTTTTAAGTAAAATACATTTTTTGTATTCTTTTTAATTAATCATTTATCAACTAAGAATTCAATTCAATAGCGAATTCATTTTCAGCCACCCCTAAATCAAATTCAAAAGAATCTGCATAATTATTTTTAATAAATAATTGATGTCCATCCAAATTTTCCGGCTATATCTAATACTCTTACTTGGAAGTTGCATTCGTTTTTCTATAGTACTTCTTAACACTATAGGATTTTAAACCCTCTCTCTAGGTGCATCAATTCTACAGTGGACCGCATAAGAAGTCATGGCAGAGTAAACAGAGGCAACAACAGCTGAACTTGTAAGAGTAGTTTGTAGACTATTATGCTATGTTCATGGTTTTACTCAATATACACTTAAAAGAATAGCGACTATAGATTCACTTTTTTAATTTCATCCTAAATCCGTCAGAAAATATCAAAGCAATGTGATTTGTCCAACATAAATTTCTTTTGCTACAATATGCTTATAATCAATGTTTTATACAAATTTAGGGTGTGTTCGTTTGATAGATTTGGACAAAATCTCACTATTCATCCAAAAATTTTTCTTCCAAAAACATCAAATCAAACACCTATTTTTTATTTTTTTATATTATACTAAAAATCAATTTTACATTCCAAACATTACATCATCACCTATTTATATCATATCATACAACTATTCAAATTCAAAATTTTTACTATTCAAATCCCAACTCAAAATCCAAACCCCCAAACAAACACACCCTTAGTAAATTTGATTGTTGTTCGGTTTGGCGCGCTGTTGTTGCCTTTGCTCATTTGAAAGCAGCGTTGGGTTTGGATCTGCCTCGTCTTAATAGATCAATGGGTTTTTGTTTAATTTGCCTAATTTTTCTGTGTTACGGTTTGGGCATCAACTGTGTTTGAATTGTTACAATTCTTTTCAAAATCATTAATTTCGATTTCTATGGAATTGATTTGGACTTTTCATTTAATTTGTAGTGCTTGGATGATTTATGGCACATGCATGATTTACGAAGTACCGTCGAAAGGCTGATTAGCTGCAAAATGGAGAGGGAATTGGGGATACTGCTGCTGCAATGGAAATGTAAAGAACAGACCAACAATTTGAGAACACTCAAGGATTTTATCAGTTTCATACAAAAAGAAGATCAAGAGAAGTCCAAAATATGCCAATAAATAATATATGAAATGCATCATATTACATTATAAATTGTTTGGTAATAATTTTAAAAAATAATAATAAAAGTTGCTATTTAAAAATTGAAGAAGAAACATTAGGATCTATTCATTTTTTTATTTTTTTTTGTTTTACTTTATGTTTTTGCTGGGTAATATGACTCTTATTTAATTTTTTTTAAAATTTAAGATATATAAATAATAAAAGCAAATTCCTTAACATATACCTTATCTAAATTTATATAATATAAATACAATTTTGAAATTTTAAATAATTGAATCAAACTCATTGTTAGTATTTTTAAATGATTATATATGTAATAACAATAATATTTATTGGCACAAAACGTCATTTTTATCAACAAATCATTACTCTTGTAAAAAACTCTAATTGTCTAAATCATAACCAATCACATTTTAGAAAATTAAGAGTGTCATGCCAATAAAGATGCCGTAACTAAGCTAGTACACAACCAATTTTCATTTCAAATAAAAGGTAAGACATAAAATTAAATAAAATCCAATTGAGCATTTATTGTTTTCATTTATTCACCACATTATTATGAATTCCAATTAATATTATTTTATTATAATTTTTTAAAAAATAATATATTAGTGTAACTACGATTAAAATGAAAAATTTTGAAATTTTGAAAAGAAAATTTTTGAAATTAATATAGACAGTAAGTAATTAAGTTACCTGTATTAGTTATTTCAAAAACCGTTGGAAATAAATGGCAACTAAATCAAATTGCTAGTATTATTCATTAAATTCCAGAAGTCACTATATAAATAAGGAAGCGCGACGTCCTATTGCGACAAGAGAGAGTTCTACAGAATCTGTCTTCCTCGGTGAAATCGCTTCGGGTCTTCCGCTGCTCCGCTCAGCTCATCTCAACCCTCTCGCGATCATGTCAGGAAGGACGAGCAATCGATCGATGCAAGCGTATGGTTTCTTCATTTCGTAAATTAGTACTTGATTAAGATCAGTAGCTGCAGTTTCGTGTTCTCCTATTTAGTTGTGGTTGATTGGTAATTGTTTGAATTTACTTTGTTGGATTCGGTGTGCAGTTGTTGTCTTTGCACATTTGAAAGCTGCGTAGGGTTTGGATCTGCTTCGTCTTAATAGATCGATTGGTTTTACTTTGTTTAATTATTCTTTGTTAAGGTCGATCTGAGCATCAGCTGTGTTTGTATTGTTCCAGTTAATCTCAAAATCATTAATGTCGTTGATTTCTATGGAATTGATTTTGACTCGTCATTTCTTGCGGAAGATCTGTAAATTCTCACTCTGGTTTGTTTCTTCCAATTTCAGATCATCATCCGAAATTGTCCACAAACGAGAAAAGCTGGAATTAGACCTTCCTCCAGAGCTTTTAGAAAAAATCATGTCTTCGTTATGCTCTGGGGACAGAGCTCGAGCTAGCTGTGTGTGTCGAAAATGGCGAGACATAGCAAAGTCTCACAAAAAGACAAACCGGCCTCCGATGAATGTGCGTATCCGAACAAATGATGATTTTTTTGATATCTGCGACCTTTCTCGCTGCCTATCAAATATGATCATGTCTCCTAATCGACTTCGAGGCATAGTCAGTTACGCCAAGGATGGTTGGATGTTGTTCTATGATGATGATGATGCCCACGTGATTAATTTCTACAATCCTCAATCAAATGAGCATTTTGAACTTCCCAAGATGCTACATTTTTCGATCCGTATGGCTGCATTCTCAGCCCCTCCAACGTCACCAAACTGCACGGTATTTTTGCTGCCCCGTACTATCACGGCTGGATCTCCTCCTGATGTCATTATTTGGCGCCCGGGAGACACGGGGTGGACTAATGTTGAGTACGATACCAAACATCCATCCATCACCTCCAATTGGATGAGCATCGTGGCTCACAATGGCAACTTTTATTGTATGAACATCCATGGCTATATCGGGGAGTATGATCCAGGAAAATGTGGTTGGAGGGCTCTTCCCTACGAGTCCCTCGGATGCGCTCGATATGTCCCCTTGTGTCGGTGGAGGAAAAGCATGTTCTTGGCAATGTATGATGCCAAATTCTTTCTAGTGCGCACTTGGGGTGTGGCGCAACCCCACGTCTACAAGTCGGATGGAATCAGCTGCACGTGGAAGAAGGTAAGCCACTTAGACGGGATGACCTTTTTCGCGAGCGCCACGACATCCCTCATCCGGGATGATCTCCCCGATGTGATGAAGAATTGTATTTATTTCCCCGAGCGTGTGGACAATGGGAGGCACTGCCTTGTCTATTCCATGAAACTCAAGAAGTTCTATAGGGAATCGCAAAGGTTGAAGCAGTTGAATATGGAATTTCTCGGCGATGTATGGATGGACCTCGGCGGCGAAGAAGTCCCGGAGATGAAAGAAAGGGACGACATTGACCGTATGAATAGGGATGTGGCGGCAGCATTCGAGCGGATGCATATTAAAGCATTTGGATCAAAGCTCGTTGCTTAGGAGGTAAAGGCATATCCTTTGGAAACATGTTAGATCATGGGTTTGATTTTGAATTTTATTAAGTAATTTTGTACAATTAATCATGTGATGCATTGAATTCAAAAATAAATTTAAAATATACATGGAGCTATTTTAAATTTGTAATAGACTTTAATTGTCTTAATCATAACCAATCTCCTCTTAGAAAACTTGGAGTGTCAAACCAATAAAGATGTCGTAACTAAGGGCACTAAGATCTAGTACAAAACAAGATTTCATTTTAGATAAAATGTGAGACAAAATTCGAAGAACTCCAATTGAGCACCTATTGTTTCCATTTATCCACCACATTCATTACAAAGTCCAATTAATTCTAGAAATTTTTAAAACCTAAACGAAAATATGGTAATGATTTTTAAATTCAATGAAAATTTTCAATCGGGGGAGTTAATGATCACAATGGAAGGGCAAATGAACTAAACCATACAAGTGATGCTCAAACACAAATACAAAATATTTAAACAAACAAAAGCAAATTGATCGATAAGTGAAGTTGACCTAAACCCTAATGTGTGTATGAAATGTGCAAACCGAACCATTTCCATTTCCAGAAGTCACTATATAAATGGAAGGAAGAGCGACGTCCTATTGCGAATAGAGAGAGTTCTATATAATCTGTCTTCATCGTGAAATCGCTTCGGGTCTTCCGCTGCTCAGCTCATCTCATCTCAGCCCTCTCGCAATCATGTCTGGAAGGAGTAGCAATCAATCGACGAAAGCGTATGGTTTCTTCATTTCGTAAATTAGTACTTGATTCAGATCAGTGGCTGCACTTTACATGTTTTATCCTCCTTAGCTGTGGTTCATTGTTGTTTGAATTTACTTTGTTGGATTCGGTTTGTTGTTGTTGCCTTTGCACATTTGAAAGCTGAGTAGGGTTTAGATCTGCTTCGTCTTAATAGATCGATTGGTTTTTGTTTGTTTAATTATTCTTTGTTGAGGTCGATCTGGGCATCAGCTTTGTTTTGACTCATTAATGTTGATTTCTATGGAAATGATTTTGACTCGTTATTTGTTGTGCAAGATGTTTAAATTCTCACTCTGGTTTGATTCTTCCAATTTCAGATCGTCATCCGAAACTGTCCACAAACGAGGAAAGCTGGAAGTAGACCTTCCTGCGGAGCTTTTAGAAAAAATCATGTCTTCCTTATGCTATGGGGAGAGCTCGAGCTAGCTGTGTATGTCGAAAATGGCGAGACATAGCAAAGTCTCTCAAAAAGAACAACCGGCCTCCATTGAATGTGCGCGTTCGAAAGAACAATGACTTGGTAGATATCTCCGACCTTTCCCGCTGCCTCTCAAATAGGATCATGTTTCGGTTGGATTTTTAGTCTAAATGGATCCACCCCAATATAAGGCACAAACACACCCATTCTGCGGCCTATGAAAACCAGGCCCAAACACGTGATCTGTGCTTCTTGTCCTGACCCGCACACGGAACCCGGTTTGTGCCCCGTGACCAGTACGAGGATCCGCGTCCTTTCTTGAGGTGAAGCGCCTGCCGTCGGATTTGGAGTTTTGATCTTAATCGTTCGATTTGTTTTAACCTACATATATATATACGGTGGGTGAGAGGTGGCCGCCGTCATCCTATACACTTCCTTCCTCTCTATACACTGGGCCTCTCTAGCCTCTCTTATCCTCTCTCTAAGATCCCCTTCTCCGGCTTTCGACGGTTCACGGCGGTATTTTTCTCCTGTAATCTTGTGGAATTCTTTAGCATGCTTGATTTTTCTATGTTTGGTTGTTTCGAGCTACAAAGAGCTCGTTCAATGTCCTAAGTACTTGGATTACTCTTTTTCGCTTTGTATTTTTCTCCGTGGGCTTCTTCTTTTGGTTGTCGTGGGTTATTAGGGTAGGTTTTCGTGTGATCGTCGCGTTTTGGGTGTTGTATTTGTGTCAATTTTGTATTCTATGTGGTTTTGGGTGCTGAGTCTAAAACTAGAACTAGCTCAATAGTTTAAACTCGATTTCATTGGAAAATCTTCGATCCGTTCTTTTATTTTAATAACAGTTTCCAAATCAACCTCACGGCATAGTCCGTTATGCCAAGGACGGTTGGATGTTGTTCTATCCCAAGGAAAATGATTCCCGCGCATTGAATTTCTACAATCCTCAATCAAATGAGGTTGTTGAGCTCCCAAAGATACTATCTGATGATCTGGTCCATATGGCTGCGTTCCCAGACCCGCCAACTTCGCCAAACTGCACCGTATTCTTGCTGCTCATTACCTTCCCGGATGCTTCTCCCGATGTCCTTATTTGGCGCCCGGGCGATATATTGTGGACCATTGTTGGAGTATACCAAAAGACATCGATCCATCACCTCCACTTGGATAAATGTCGTGGTTTGCAACGGGAACTTCTACTATATGAACATCGATGGCTATACCGGCGAATTCTTTCTAGTGCGCACTTATGGCGTGGCGCAACCCCTAGTCTACAAGTCGGATGGGATCAGCTGCACATGGAAGAGGGTGAAGCACTTAGACGGCGCGACCTTTTCCACGAGCACCACGACATCCCTCATCCGGGATGATCTCCCCGATCTGATGAAGAACTGCATTTATTTCCCCGAGCTTGTGGACGATGGGAGGCACTGTCTCGTCTATTCCATGAAACTCAAGAAGTTCTATAGGAAAACGCAAAAGTTGGAGCGGTCGAAGATGGAATTTCTCGACGGCGCATGGATGGACATCGGCCGTAGTGAGGTTCCGGCGATGGGAGAAAGGGACGACATTGCCCGTATGAATCGGAGTTCGTTGCTTAGAAGGGGCCGGAAGCATCTAGAAGCATTTGGAACGGAGTTCGTTGCTTAGAAAGTAAAATTTTAGTTTATGGGATATTATTTTCAATTTTATTATATAATTTTGTGCGATTATATTTACTTATGCCTCGATTATTTACTATTATCTTATAAATCACTGGTCGATAATGTGCTGATATAAATTATATAGTAAAAAAAATAAAAATATTACTACAAAATCCCACAATTTAAATCACTACATACCTCTCATGATTAATTTTCTCAAAAACATACAATACCATATAATTATGTATTATCGCAATAATAAAATTAAGTACTAATTTTTTACCTTTCAATCCGGATGTTCTCTTAAGGCTCATCTTTGCAAAGATTGTAGCTGTCCCATCGGGGAAGAATATTTTCCGAGAAAGGAAATATACGATAGGATACTATGTCCCTTTCGAGAAATAAATGTTCCATTCGTCTGCCTCTAAAAGTTATATTTAATTTTTGTATCGTATTTGATATTAAAAATATAATTTTTTTGTACAAATGTCATTTTCTACCAGTATTATAAGATACTAATCGAAGTATTTTTGTAATTTTTTTCTTAATATAACAATTAATATTAAAAAATCAATACGCAAAAAGTAAATAAGACCCTTAGAGTCGGACAAATTTAGTATTTTTTTTTCTTTTTCCCTCGTTATCCCCATCATATCTATTTGAATATGTCATATAAGATTACTTCATTTCCCTAGTAATACAGTATATAAGGTAATTAAATTTAATTTGTTAATAATATTGAATTAAGATATTATTTCATTATTTGAGTAATATTGTTATAGTTTTAAAATAATAATTCATATATATTATTCTCTCCATTCCAAGTACTTTGCAATATTTTTTTATTTTGATTTATCTCACATATTCTGAAATATTTTTAAAATAAAAAATAATTAATACATTTTATTCAATCACACAACGTAAATAAAAAAAATAAATATATATTTTTTCTCTCATCACATCACCTAATTTTTACTTAATTCTATCTATATAAATTCCGGTTTCTAAATCAAATATTGTTTCTTATATGGGGTTGAGAGAGTATTAAAATAAATTTAGAGTACCGGTTTAAATATTTTAAATAATATTTAACAGTAAAATATATATAATATGAATATCATTTTATAAAAAATAAAATTTTAAATGATACAAATAAATAAAAAAATTAACAATTTCAAATAATATTTATTTATTTATAATTAAGATTAACAATTTTTTTAAAATATAAATAAAATATTTATTTATTAATAATAAATAAAAATAAATTTTTTTTAAATAATCTTATGATGTTATTGTTACGGAAATTCCAGGAAATCAAGATGAAATAACAAAGACAAAAAGAACACAAGATTTGGTAACCCAGTTCGATCACGATGATCTACGTCTGGGGCGCTGCCAAGTCAGGATTTTACTGAAAAGTACGCAGGCACGTGTTAAAGTGAGAATACATGGATGTTTATAGCATAAGCCTTTGACAATAATATCAAAATCATATCTCTAAAATTTAAAATATAATATCCAAATCATATCCCTAGATTTTAGGATATAATCAGGCTTTATATCCCAACAATCTCCCATTTGAAGACTGATTTCATCTTCCACTTCAACATACCTTATCCAATTTCCACTCCCCACCATTCGGTGTTCTGATTCGAATCATTCCTTTACCTACAATTTTCAGTGTCTCATCATCGGCAAGATAGACAACACCAAAATTACATGTGGTATAGGATGCCATGATTCCCGAATCACTACATGAGTGAAATGACGCTCCTGAGACCAAAATCCATGACTCCATTGGACTGCTGACGCTCAGAATCAGCACATCGGATATCTCATCCGTTGTGTTTGCCGAACCCTGATCCTTCTCCGGCGCCCGCACTCTCATTTCAAGTGCCCCTTGCAGTTTCAACATGCCACCTAACTTGCATCTTCCTTGTCGATCTTCTTTACTCGACTTCATCCATCTTGACTTCCACAAACAAACATAAGGCTTACTTGATATGAGAGCACATCGGATATTCCGCTGCGTTTGCCGAAACCCTTATCCTTCTCTGCCAACTTTCCACCGTCTATCACAAAGGGACTCGCTGCCTAACCTACCAGTCGGGACCGACCCAACACCGCCAGGAGACTTTCAACACAAGGCACCTCCGTAGGTCACAGGGGATTCCCACAACGATCCAACGTCCGATTCCTCTCAATCCACCCTATCAACGAACTAGACTCTGATACCACTTGTTACGGAAATTCCAGGAAATCAAGATGAAATAACAAAGACAAAAAGAACACAAGATTTGGTAACCCAGTTCGATCACGATGATCTACGTCTAGGGGCGTTGCCAAGCCATGAATTTTACTATAAAGTACGCAGACACATGTTAAAGTGAGAATAAATGGATATTTACAGTCTAAGTCTTTGACAATAATATCAAAATCATATCTCTAAAATTTAAAATATAATATCCAAATTATATCCCTAGATTTTAGGATATAATCAGCTTTCATATCCCAACAGTTATATATTATAAAATTAATTAAATTTATTAAATATATTTTGATTTTATAAATTTTACTAGTGTCAATTGAATTAAAGCAAGAAAAAAAAAAAGAAGAAAATTTAGCTAATGGAAATTAGAGGAAGAGTGTATAATACTCCCTCCTCAGTCCCTCCACAATTTACACTATTTCTAATTTTCTCTATCCTTAATAATGGACACCTTTCTATTTTTGATAAAACTTATAAAATCAAAACATATTTAACAAATATAAATCAACTTAATTAACTACGTAACATAATACAACATCATAAACCCCTTTATTTCTACCTCTCTCCTCAATAAAATAAATATTTTTATCTATATTAAAACTACATATCTTTTGTAAAATTAATTTATATAAATTATAAATAAACAAAAATATTTTTTTTATTTACTTGTATTATAGAAGAGTTTATTTTCTACAAAACGATATCATATTGCATATATTTTTTAATTGTTATATAATTTTTAAATATTTAAACATATATTTTAATTTTTTTAATCATATATATTAAATTTACTTTAAAACAATAAATATTATTAATTATAAAAAAAATAATATAATAATATCGTAACTAATTATTATTAATTAATTAAATATCCGCACCTTAAATACAGTATTTTTAATCTAAGGATTCAATTCTGGTGGGATTGAGAGAGTATTTGTCAAGTTGACTAAGAACTACAATAAATCTAAGTTTAGAGGTTGAAATATAATATACGAAAGTTCTAGAGGATTTATTTGTAATTTAGGGTTCGATGTCTCTTTATTGGCAAATTGTGATTTGAAGAGACTGCGATTCCCCGAGTTCGTTTTTCTCCGTTTCTCTTTGATTAGTAGGGTTTCCCAGGTAAGTTATTCACGATCGCTCTTTGTTTTGGTAATTTCGGAAGCGTAGTGATGGTTTAATTAATAGAATTTGATGTATTTTTCCGTCGAGGAGCCTACGAAGAGTAAAAGTCATTGTTCGAGAACAAAGGCGAATTAAAGTTAGATATATTTGTGTATGTTCAGATTTTAATGCTATGAGTCACCCAATTTTTTGGTTTTTTCAACTCTATTGCAGTGCTGAATTCTCCTCTGGATTAATGTTTAAGAATACATTTCAATCCGGGTTTCTTTCAATTTTATATAGCCTTGGGTAAGCAATTTTATTATGTTAATATGTTTGGGCGTGCCACTAATCTGTATGTTTAGTTAATGCGAGCTTGAGTTTAAAATATGATTTTTCATTCTTCAGGAGCAAGCCATTACAGATATGGGATAAAAAGGGTATGCACTTCGCTATTTCTCTAATTTTATTTTGTTAAATTCATATTCTTCGTTTAGGTTTATTTTTCCTTGTATGTGTTCATGAGTGAATTTAGGCATGGATTTAAGTTCGGATTATCTCTTTGAATTGCTAGGCTATCAGGTGTTCGTTTCCCAGGTTCATATTAGGCAAACTAATTGCTTTGGCTTTCGGCCATATAATTTTCTATGAACATTTTTTTCAGAAGCTAAAAAATTTAAGAGGACTGGGTTTGGGTGATAAATACTCTGCTTTTAGGTGTTATGTGTGGAATGAATAATTTTATGCCTACTTAACACTTTCCTGAAAATTGGTTGAGAGAAAACTGAGCTAGCTACTAAAATGTCGTGAGGAAGCTTCCTTATTATAATTGGAAATTACGTTTGGATGTATAAAGATGCTATGGGTTTCAGGAAAGATGAATTGCTTTGGTTCCTTTGATTGTAGGTCAAATGCATACTTGTATTTGTGAGCTAGCTCTTTGTTTGGTTACCCCACTTGATGGATTTTATTTGAAACTTGCAGTGGTCAATGGCCATGTTAAGCGATTGCAAGATGATGACATACAATCTAATGTTTTGGAAATAGCTGGTTCGGATGTTCAATCTACTTATATTACTTGTCCAGCTGATCCGACTGCAACGCTTGGCATCAAGCTGTCATTCTTAGTAATGATTGTAAAAAATATGAAGAAGTACTTCACTTTTGAAATCCAAGTGCTGGATGATAAAAATGTCCGTCGAAGATTCCGAGCTTCTAATTTTCAAGTCTGTAAGTTTTCCTCTTGTGGGTTTCAATTTTAATACTTTAGATAATTGTCCTGTTTGTGTATTGTTATATGTTACATTACAGGGCAAGAAAATAATTTGTGTGGAATTGGTTGGTAAAACTTTAGTTATACTGCAGCAACTTTAGAGCAATGAATTCACTAGGAAATGTTATATCCTAGAGACGACTAACTGCCGCATGCTTTTTATTGGGTTTGGTTAATGTATATTTTTTGCTATGTTCTTGATGCATCTTATCTTGCTTTCTCTGTTTACACGCTAGTGAACTTTGATCAGATAGTGTGGATTAGTAATGTTAGATCTTGAAACCGCTTTGCCTCATGGATGGTGTAGATTAAAAGCTAAATTCTAAAAAGTTGGACTATGAACAAATAGTTCGAGCTGCACTAGCTTCTTCGATGGTCCTAATAAATAAGTAGAAATATGAGGTTTACTCTAGGGTAGGTACTGAAGGTTATAAAAATATTTACTTCTCTGATATTTCTCCCTTCGATTAATGAGAGACACATGTCGATAAACTTGAGCTTTCGCGTGTCTTAAGTAGTTGAGTTTCTTGGTTACATATTCGCAACTAATTGGTTCTCGAATTCTTATTCAATACCTCAGTTTCTCTATTATTATTGTAGAGATTAAATTCAAAACTCTGTTTTAGGCCGTCACAAGAGTTAAACCATATATATGCACGATGCCCTTGAAGTTGGACGACGGGTGGAACCAAATCCAGCTGAACCTTACTGATCTGACCCGTCGTGCATACGGAACAAATTATGTCGAAACACTGAGGGTTCAGGTCCACGCGAATTGCTGCTTGAGGAGAATATATTTCTCGGACCGCCTGTATTCAGAGGAGGAACTTCCACCGGAATTTAAACTGTACCTTCCAATGCAGGTAGATTTAACAGCGCCTTATCAACTATTGATATCTTCTTACCTTGTCTCTCATTTAATTCATCGTTGCAGAAAGCCTGAATGATCTTGCAGACGACTTTGGTGGCTTCAAAGATGATCGCGTAAAGTGGTTCATCCATGGAGGTATCAAGCTTATTAGTATCGATATAATGCATAGATTCTGTTATAAGCCGAACGTATCTCTTCGGTTACTAGTCGAAGATATCGATATCGATATCGACAGGATACACAGCTGAATTTATGCCCTGTTTTGAGTAACTTCTATGACTCCTTGGCTTCTGGAGTGTGTGTTTTCTTGGGTTTGATTTCAGCTGAAAATAGTGATGGGTTGCAAACTCAACGTGCTATAGCGCCTTAAATGTAATGGATTGTGATGCATTTAAAACTCCATTTATTTGGTAATTTATCTTTATTTATATTTCCTGTATTCCACATAAAGTGTTCGATATTAATTTTATTATTTTAATCATATGTTAAATTTTATTATTTTTAATTTTAATCAAATTATTTAATTATTCTAATATTTATTTATAATTATTTTTACTAATATATATATTTTTAATTATTTATTACATATAATTTTTATAAATTTTGGTATTAACAATAACTGAATATTTTATTGGAAGGAGTAATTATAATCTTTATACAAATGCATTAATTTTTTTTTTATATAAACTATTATATTCAATTTACTATTAAAAAATTTAAAATCAATTATGTTGACGCATAAAAAGAATTTATTTTACATTTTCTTATTAAAATATTATAACCATTCATAAATTACTCTTATTTTACTAATGTCGGACAATTATTGGTATGTAGTCTTTTAAAGTTTGATTTAGATTTTATTTAAATAGTAGTTTAAGTGTGTTTGGATTTAAATAGTTGTATAATGTGATATAAATAGGTGTTGATGTGATATTTTGAATGAATTGATTTTTAATATAATATAAAAAATGAAAATAGGTGTTTGATATGATATTTTTTGGGAGAAAAAATTGGATGAATAGTGTAAATTCAATCCAATCCTCCAAATATACACACCCGTAGAGTGTCTTTATTGTTTATTTCAGATAAAAAAGTACATGAAAATTCACAATCCTCTAGCCTCAAAATATTTTCTAAGTTACGCTCATCGTTATATTGGTAAGTCTAATGAGAAAGATAGGACACCCTCTGCACTGCCAGAAAAATGTAAAAATGCGGCGCGGAATACATATAATTCCATGACAAACATAATAAATTGTAGCAAATAATGTCGTAAAATTAATTCCACACTAGATTTTTCGTCGGTATTTGTTGGTTTCACGATAAATTGTCGAAGTTTTCCGTGACAAAAAAGGAATACTAAATATTAATTGCAGCACCGCAACAACAAGAGGATTATTAATTATCAATTGCTGTAGAAGATCGCAACAAATTGTCGCAATTTTCCTTGACGACGACAAGGAGTACTATTAGATATCAATTGCTGCAAAAGACCGCGACAAATTATTGCAATTTGATCGGTTCTCTGCAAATTATACCGATACTATGAGTCACTCTTAGCTTGTGCATATTATTTCTATTTTTCAAAAAATGAAAAATAAATAAATAAAAAATCAAGGTCCAAATTTGCAAGGAGAAGGAGCATTTGAAGAAAAGGTGATGGCTATCCTCCCGGAGAACTTCGCAAAGATCACAAGTCGGATTGATGTCGAGGAAGGGCAGACAATCTTTTGTCTTTGGTCCATAAACCTTTTTTCCCGAGAATGAAACCATGCATCCTGCCATTAAACGCCAAGGAGAAGGAAAAGGTAGAAACACATTCTATGAGGAGGGTCACAAATGGCTGTATAAAATTTAGCCCAAGTGTTGGGGACTCTCGTTTGCGGATAGATGATTAATGCCTATGTTCCCCTAATAGTTCGAGTTTTCAGGTGAGATGGTGATTCAGCATCCGACACCAAGAAATGGAATAGAAGGCCTTGAACAAGTCAAGCTTGATTAAGCTCCGGCGATCATTGAGAGCTCCATATCTCCTAGTATAGTGCTTGAGTAACTCTTGGAGGAGTGGAATGGTTTCCACCATGTTCCTACCTTTAACAGAAGCCCCTTAGCTTGAGCTTTGTCAATCACCTAAGGATCGAAGAGACGAAGACCCATCTTCAATCGATCTGCAAGGATCGGAGTTTAGAGATAATTTTGTATATTACATACTTTGCAAGAAGCTATAGGCCTGAAATCACCATCCCCGGAGAGGCATATGGTTTTGGAATAAGTACCAAAACTATATGATTGAAGTGTGAATTTGGGAACTTACTCTTGACCGGACACGGGTTTTCATTAAAATGGATAATAATTACTCTTTCCGTCCCAATTCAATGTACTTTTTTTTTTTTTTACCATTTTTACCATTTTTGTTCATCCCACTCCAAAGTATTTATTTCAGTAATCATACATCAATACCAAAATACCTTTTAACTTTTACCAAAATTACAAACATACCATTAAACATACAATTGATTTTTTACATAAAATCAAAGCGCAAAAATGTCAAAAATCTCTTACATACTTCTACTAACTAATAAAATACTATTATTTTTTAATCTACTATAAAACGTCAAAAAAGTCTGGACCGGGACGGGGGAGCATTATTTTTTCATTTTACCATGGAAAAAATATAAAAATGTAATAATTTTTACTTAAAATGGAAACGAAATTTTTTTTTTTATTTTTTATTTTTTATAACGGTCCAAAAAAAGTGAATATAAATTTGAATGATGAAAGAAGTACTATCTAATTGCTTCCAACTTTATAAAGTGTGGTTGATCATTTGATTAATCTAGTTAAGTAGGTATGTAACGTATATTTTCTCTAGATACACACATGCACATCATTTTTATACATTCTATGGATATATTTAGATGTATTGAGTTTATAGTTTTCAGTTGTCAATGTAAGAAATAATCTTTATAAATGTTAAGAATATCTATCCTACATTGTAAATAATGTGGGGTTCCCTTAGTTTATAAGAGTACAGGCTACTCCATTTAATAATCAATTGATTTTAAGTTGAAATTTAGGATTTTTTTTTTTTTTTAATTCTCTTTGTCTATTAAAATTAGCACACTTGGTCCGGCACATACATTAAAAACAAAAAAAATATTTTATTGAAAAAATGATAGGTAGTTGGAGATATTTTTAGAAATTTAATTAGAAATCAAAGTAAACGAAAAGAGATAATGTAATAAAGTCGATGATATTTATTAAATTATAGAGTAATAATTAAATATTGATTTATTGAATTTGTCAAAATTAGTAATAAGATAAATTTAGGAGACGGATTAAAAAAGAAAGTTCAAATAAATTTGACGGATGGAGAAAGTAATAAATTCCAACGTGCAAGAATTTTTGTCAATATATCCACCCAGCAGCTTCACCAACGGGAAAAGTATTGTGGTTTGGGATGGAATATGCCATGTTCATGGCAGAGTACAACGGCGAAAGATTCTTCCCGTAGGGAGACGGCTACAATCTATGCAAAGACGGAATTAATTGAAGGGTGATGATTTATTCATGCATTTTTAAGTTGTTTATTTCATGACATTTTTCCTTTTTTGGAAAATTTTGGAAAAAAACACCTCAATTCATTTTGTGGTTTTGATGGTGTTTTGGGTGCGTCTTGATTGTGTTTTTCGGGTGCTTTCGGGTGTTTGTCGAGTGCAATTTGGGTGCTTGTTTTCTTTTATTTTTCAGTTCCATCATTCTTAAATTATATTTTGATTTTTTTTTTTTTTTTACTAGAATTGTATTTTATTGTGCTTGAAATCAAGAGATATAGAATATTGCAAGCTATTAGGTTTGGCCGAGAGTGTACCAATGCACACTTTCCGTAGCGGCTGCAAATTCTCGTATTATTTGAAAAAAAATAAAAATAAATATAGGATGTTGTATGATATTTTTCATTTTTTTTACTATATAGTTTATATTAGCACGTTAACTAAATAATCAAAGCATAAGTAAATAAAATTGCACAAAATTAAATAATAAAATCGAAAATAAAATCCCATAAACTATAATTTTACTTCCTAAGCGACGAGGCAGATCCAAACCCTACGCTTTCAAATGTGCAAAGGAAAGCACATTTGAATAAATAAAATCAAAAATAAAATCCCATAAACTAAAAATGAATAATTAAACAAACCAAAACCAATCGATCGATTAAGACGAGGCAGATCCAAACCCTACGCAGCTTTCAAATTTGCAAAGGAAAAAACAACACCTATTGCAACATTTCTACTAAATGTTTGTTCGGGGATTTGGATTTTGAGTTGAGATTTGAATAGTAAAAATTTTGAATTTGAATAGTTGTATGATGTGATACAAATAGGTGTTGATGCGATGTTTTGAATGTAAAATTGATTTTTAGTATAATATAAAAAAATAAATGATTTGATATTTTTTAAGGAAAAAAATCAGGATGAATAATGAATTTAAAATCCAATCCCCAAACAAACACTCCCTAAGTACCACTAAAATTAAATCACATTTCTTCAAACTTGCCATTTTTAAAAGCAGTAACATTCAACCCAATATACATATTGCAAACCCTATGGTGAATCGGTGATAATTGGAAACAATCAAAACTTCAAGACACACAGAAGGAGATCTTATTCTTTAAAAATATAACTTCAATTTTTTTTTTTTTTATTTTCTATAATAATAACAACAATAATAATGTACCAAATCAATTTTTATGATGGCAAGACCATGAAATCAAACCCTGAATGTCTACTCCACGGAGCCTATCATATAGGTTTTTCGGACATGGCTTACCCAATTGATGATTTGCAAATTATTACCCTCGACCCCAGAATTTAGCCATCACACACTTAAAAAGTACCTAGTGCCCAATATCTATCTATATATATATATATATATATATATATAAGGAAGAGAAGTAATCGGGTCGCCCTCTTGAAAGGAGTTCTTATTGTCGGTCTTCCACTGCTCAGCCTTAATCATGACTGCAAGAAACGAGAATCTGTCCAAGTCCGAAGCGTATGGTTTCTTCCTTCTGTAAACTCATTCACTAACTGCAGTTTCTTTATTCTTTTGTGTGGTTGATTGATCGATCCTTCAACGAATTAATTAGGGTTTGAATTACTGCCTCATGGTCTGAACCAAATAGGGTTTGGGGATCTGTCGAAATCCAACGCGTTGTATTCTTTTTTTATAATCGTTTTGGGATCTACCTGATGGTCTGTCTCAGTTTTATTTGTGTTTAAATTTGTTTGATTGGGCGAGGTGCTGATGGCTTTCCACATTTTAAACCCACATAAGGGTTTGGGACTGATTGATCAGTTTGTTTAATCATTTCGTGTTACGATTTGAGCATCAATTGTCTTTGATTGATCTTTAATTAATTTCCCAACTGAAGTCTTTCAATGGACTTATCAAAGTCATTATCATATTGGACTTTTCAATGAGTATGGAAGATTAAAAAGAAATAATAGGATACTTAATTGGAGTTAAACATCTATTTTTCTTCCTTAGCTTTTATATGGAATGAAAACTTGTTATCCTCTAGGACTTGGATTCAGTATCTTTATTGGCATGACCCTTCTAGTTTTCTTAAAGGGAATTGGTTATGATCAAGACTATTAGTACTCCTCTAGTATATTAATACTTCGTTTGTAAAGTTGATATTTGTGAGTGAACAATTTGCTTTAATACGTATTTCCTTTTACGCGCGTGTCGGTCAATTTTTGCCATTGTCTTATACGGCACTTTTCTTTTAGTTGTCCTCATAGATGAGTTGAGTAGTATGATAAAAAAAAATAAGACTTATAATTCAAGATCACTGTAACAATGTGATTCTCAGCTTGTAAATGTTTACCATTTTAATAAAGAATGTATTATCTGAAGATGCCTTTCAGGTTGAAGCTCCTAGTTTTCCAAAGCATTATCATTTAATTTTGATCCAAACAGTTGTAAAGTGGTTGCCAACCTCTTGAAAATAGCATGAATTGATTAGGATAAGAAATGAAACATCTTTATCCCATGTTTGTCAAAGTGTTTGTACTCATTGTTTTCATGCTAAATGGAATCGATTTTGACTTGTCGCATATTGCGCTTGGCTAATTTATGCTAGTTTCTCTGTACATTCTCACTCTTGGATCATTTGTTTAATGTCAAATCTTGCAGCAATGCTAGCTAGCGGATTAGGATGCCGCGAAAACAAGAGTTGGACTTTCCTTCCGATGTTTTAGAACAGATCCTGTCCTTGTTAAGCTCTAAGGATAGAGCACGAGCAAGTGCTGTATCTAGAAAGTGGCGGGACGTTGCATATTCTGTCAAAAGGATCCACCGCCCTCCCAAGTTTCTTTATTTCAATAAGATCTATAAGAACTTTCTTGTCTGCGACCTTGCTTCTTGTCGCTCACACATAACCCCACATCCAAATCTACCTGGTGGTGATGTTAGTTACGCCAAGGATGGTTGGATTCTTTTCCACGATTCGGATATTGGGGCCATGAATTTCTACAACCCTCCTTCTGCTGAGTGGATTGAGCTCCCAGAGATAGATTTGAATTTCTGTAGAGCTGGATTCACTGCTCCTCCAACCTCGCCAAACTGTGTGGTATTCCTACTTCACAGTTGCAGAACGGAGGCTTGTGTCAATGCCATTACTTGGCGCCCGGGGGATATGGCGTGGACATATTTCAAATACGAATATGAACACCCATCCATCAGTTCCACCTGGAAAATTGTTGGTGACAACCGAGATGAAAATCCATCCTGCAGCTACACATGGAAGAGTATTGTGGTTCGCGATGGAATTTTCTACAGTTTCAACATATTTGGTGATATCGGAATTTTTGATCCGGTAAGACGGACTTGGAGAGCTCGCTCCTGCAAGCGCCTCAAATCCATTTGGCATATGAACAAGGTTTGTTGGGATTATTACATGTTCATGGCAGAGTACAGAGGCGACTTCTTTCTAGCGCAAACTAGTGGCTACCGGTTTCTCAACATCTACAAGTTGGATGAAGTTAGCTACCGATGGTACAAGGTTAAAGATTTAGGCGGCGCAACATTCTTCACAAGCACCATCACATCACTCATCCGGGATGATCTCCCGCATGTCATGCAGAATTGTGTGTATTTCCCAGAAATTGTGGATAATGACAGGCACTGCAAAGTCTATTCTATGAAATTGAATAGGTACTATAAGAAATTGCAGCGCCATCCGTCTTATGTGGTTAGAAGAACTTGCCCAGACATCTGGACGGACATCGGTGAAGATCCAGAGATGAAAGAGAGGAATGAAATTGTCCAAATGAATTGGAAAGTGTGGCTGTCGTTTGCGCGGATGCATCATGAAGCGTTTGGAACAAAGCTTGGCCTTAGGAACTAATGGTACTCGTTAGATACATGATCATTTCCTAACGCTACAAGAAAATATCAATTTTGTAACAAAATTTTTTTATCCCTAAATCCACTTTTTCCGTTACTAATGACAATAGAGACGGAATTAGAGAATGAATTGCGTTAACTACGTGAACTTTAGATGAATTTTGCACATCCAGCCCATCGGACACCGATTGACCTATAAGTACTTATTATTTTATGTGTGTATAAAATACCTAGCCTAGCAGCCTCAAAACTTAAATCACTAATTCTGATTGTGTCACCAAATTATTTTCTTTCTAGTGCCTTTTTTTATAATGAGGTTTTGGTTGTATGTTTCATATTGGAAATCAAAATTGAAGGTCGCAAAAAAACAAAAAACAAAAAATTAAAGGTGGCGTGAACCGATAAATAAATAGATAATAAATTAAAGAGGTGTATTCAATTGAGATTTTAATGGAGTTTTTTGGATTTTAAAAACTCAATTGGGATAATAAATTAAGGGGATGAAAAATTAAAAAAATGAAAAAAAATAAAATAAATTCACGTGTCCGTCAGGTGTCACTGACTTGGCGGGACACCTGGCGGACACGTCACCTCCGGAGAGCCACCGGGCATCTCTGGCGCCGGAGAACTAAAACATCGAAAAATTTTTACTTATCACCTCCAGCGAACCACAGGGGCGTCTCCGGCGCCGGAGGACTAAAACAACGAAAAATTTTTGACTTATGAAACTAGTTTGGGACAGGTCCCACTGGATTAAAATGATAAAGGGTCAGTTACAAAAACTAAAAAAACAGTTTACCCTAATTTTTTTTATTTTAAATAAAAAATACATGAAAATTCAAGATCCGCTACTCTCAAATACATGTATATTTTCAAAGTTACTCTCATCTTTGATCAAGACTAATAAGAAAGATAGACACTCTCTGCACTACCAGAAAAATGTAAGAATACATGTATAACAAATTGTTGCAGTTTTTTGGGACAACAAGGAGGAATATTTAATTATCAATTTCTGCAAAGACTGCAACAATTCGTTGCAGTTTTCCAAATTGGTTCTCTGCAAATTATACAGATACTACGAGGATGGATCGTGCAGTCCAAATCAGTCACTCTTGTGCATATTATTTCTATTTTTCAAAAAAAAAAAGAAAAAAAAATCAAGGTCCAAATTTGCAAGGAGGAGCAACTGAAGAAAAGGTGATGGCAAATAATGAAGAGGTAAGGGGTAGAGGATCGCCTTGCCATAATCCTTTTTTTCCCGAGAAAGAAACTAAGCGTCCTGCCATTAAACTCGGAGGAGAAGGAAATGATCGTTACAAGAACATAATATTTTTGTAATAAAAATTTTTTATCTTTAAATCCACCTTTTCCGTTAACAATGACATTAAGGACGGAATTAAGGAATTGCGTTAGCTACATGAACTTTAGGGACGGAATTTTCATTACAAATATATTATTTTTTCATAGTGAAGTGCAGTTACTGATCTGAATCAAGTACTAATTTACGAAATGAAGAAACCATGCGCTTTCATCGACCGATTACTTCTCCTTCCAGACATGATTGCAAAATGAGATGAGCTGAGCAGGGGAAAACACGAAGCGATTTCAGCGAGGAAGACAGATTAGAGTGATGTTAGCGCTTCCTTCCACTTATACAGTGAGTTCCAGATACGACCGGTGCATTACACCGGGTTCACTCCACACTTTTTTTTCTTTTTTTAATTGTTGTAATTTAGCAGAATAACATTGAAAAGATAGGGTTTTATTAATAAATAATACAGGTAATTTGATTTAGTTGCCATTTATTTATTTCATGCACTTTTTTAATACTATAATATGGGTAATTTTATTATCTATATATATTTATTTCAAAAATTTTCATTTCATATTTTAGTTACAGTAATATATTATTCTTTTCAAAAAATATTTATAATAGAATTATATAGAAAATTAAACATTTAAATTGTTCAGTTATTTTTAAATCAAGTTTTAATATATATATAATAAAAGATTTCGAATGATATTTTTAAAAATAAATAAATAAATAATAAACACAAAATCTAATTCTGTAGAAGGCCAATAATTTTTGGACATTTTGGACCATCAAATTTCATAATCATATTCAAAGTCTCATGATATTAGCAAGGGTAATTTTGAAGAACAAAATTTTAATTTATTTGCAATTCAAAATTTTATTATTGAAAAAATAAAATCTCAAACATATTACAACTAGATAGAAATGAAAAATATCATACAACATGCTCTATTTTTTTATTCCAAGCATATCCCAAGACATTCTATAAACTATAAAAACCTAAAAATCATAAAAACTGAACACCCGATTTACACTCGAAATACATCAAAAAGCTTACAAAAAACTCAATCACGGCGCGAAACAATGAACTCGAAAAACACAATAAAGGCACACATCGCAACGGGGAATTTCTTCAGAAGTTTTCCGAAAGGAGAAAAATTTTACTAAATAAATAACAAGTTAAGCATATTTAAAAAAATCTTTGAGGATATCACCCTTCAATTCCTTCAACTTTAGAAACAACAAACATAACTACAAAACTAAGCAATTAAAACATATTACATACATTTATTTTAGTGATTTTTTTTCCAGAAAACTAGTCTATCAAATAATTATTTATTCTCATTGTACATCATAATAAACATAAAATTTTTACTATTTTCCAAAAATCTAAAATTCAAATATCTTCAAAAACATGCAAATTAGTCCAAAATTCAAATTAAATTGAATAAAATTCCTTTAATGTTACATTTAATTCAATATAAGTCATTCCCCAATCAATCCGCCACAAAATATTTCCAAAATACACGTTAGTTCATGTTATAGGACAAAAAAAAAAAAAAACAGACAAAATTAAAACTGAATTTATACTCAAGGAGTCGAGTTGATTCCGGTGCGCGCCGAGGCTTTGAAGCCTCAGAAGAATTCAGAGAGGTCGTCGGGGGCATCGATCCATATGTTCTCATACGGCTCCTCGTTGCATAGATTGTAGCCTTCTTGTCGGGGGAAGAATCGCTTCTGCCTAAGGGAATATACAACGGGGCGCTTCCCGTAAAAAATCACCTTCGAGAAATAAATACTATTTCTCATTATACCTATCATATCTGTCCGAACAAACGAGCTCATATAGTTAGCAAAAATGGTCAGGCCGCCGAGGTCTTCAATCTCCACCCACTGGTTTGCAGCGCTGTCGAGCTTATGTACAAAAGGGTTAAGAAACGGGTAAGCGTATATCAAATAAATATCCCCGGCATGCTCTGCCATATACATCGCCCGCTCGCCTATGTCAAGCGGGTTCGCCCTTATGCACTCAGGTTGTTCGACGGGGACGACGGACCAGGCACTATTATCAGGATCGTAACATCCCAATTGGCCGCTTTGGCTAAGACAGTAGAAGTGTCCGTTGCAAAAAGTCCATTGATTCGGATTGCTGCTGACGAACGGTTCCGGGTTCTCGAAATGATTGACGGTCCATGTGTCATCCCCGGGGCGATACGTGCTGATTGCGATCACATGGGGCTGAAGTTGCATTAGCGCAATCACAATGCAGCTAGGAGCATTCGGCGCGGCTGAAAAGGCGGCTAATTTACTCGGAAAATCCATTTGCGGCAATTCAACGGCCTTCTGAGTGTACGGGCTGTAGAGTGTAAGCAAAAGGCCTACATGGCTGTAGAGCAACAGCCAACTGTCGTTGCAGTAACAGACGAGTCTGTACTTTATCCCGGACAGCCGTAGGTAATGCGACTTGCGCTGAACTGGATTGTAGAACTCATTTGTTTTATACCTCCACGAGTGGTACATGATCCAAGGGTGCTTGTTGGATACTCGGACGGACTTTGCCACAGCCATCCATCTGTGGCAGACGCCGGAAGCCCGGAGGTTGTCTACCAGGCTTAGGCGCCTGAGGATGTTTTCCAGAAGTTCGACTGGAATATCCGACTCTTCGGCCTTTTTATTTGGCCTCCTTGGAAAATCATTGATTCTGAGGCTCGATTCGTTACTTCTTTTCCCAGAGATCCTGCAAACATTATATTGAAAATAATTAATTGATTAGACTAAGAAACAAAAAGAACTAACAAATGTCGGACGATAAATATGAAAATTAAATGTGCGATGTACATGTACAATTTATGCGGCCTAAATGCACTAATATGGGACATTCTTTATCATAAAATGGGACTCTTATGACACACGAACATTTTGGCACTTTTCTTCTATGCAGAGAATTAATATGATTTGATAAACACGTCGTGCATATATGTAAGTGATCTTAATTATCTTCTAATATATAAAACAACTTTACCGTTATCCTTCACAACTACCTAGGACACGGCCACATGCCAAAGACAACAAGCATACCTTGTCACACAAGCACATTAAAGAGGACACACACCTAAAAGAATTTCGATAACATATATCATCTTAACCGTTATAACGTTGTAAACAAAAAAAAAAAAAGAGAACCATTATACTGTTTTAAAACTAACCTAAATATTTATGAATTAAAAGACTAGCTGATTGGCTCGATCAAAGATTCAAAACCCTCTTTTCGCGGAAAAGCGAGTGTTATATCAAGTCCATAAATTTTAAAAAAAAAGCCCTAAGACATATAACATCGTTATTTTCTAAACCCAAAAATGTATGCTGAAATAGGGCTAAATTAGTATCTACCACAGCCATTTTCAATCTACATTGAAATCAACCTTCCAATTGATGAATACAGCTCATCCATTGATGCCATACATTTCAAACATAATTGCATAGAAGAAGATAATGATTATGATTTCGCTGAATAGAGTTGTGGAAAATCAAGCTTCCCTGAACAAGCACAAAAATTGAATTCTACAGTGAACTCAAATTAACATCCACACCCAACAAGCATTAGAATTAACAAACGAAAACAACCTGCAGATGCATCAGAAACGAAACCCAAAACCCTAACCATAAAAAACAAAAAAAAAGAAATCGAAGGATAATGAACCCCTGCGCCTAAAGCGTAAACAACAATGAATCACAACAAAAAGAGCACAACTAGCTGCAAGAAGAAACTCCAATTAAAATCGCCTGAAAAATTGAAAAATCAAAACAATAAAAATGAAAGAAACCGTACGATCTCAGAATTTTCATCAGCTCAGAATGCATGATTGCCGGAGAAGTGTATAGAGCTGAGTAGCTGTGAAAGGGAGAGGGAACTGGAGGGCCGCTGCTGAGGAGAAAAATTTGTTGTTTTCTGACACAGGTATGAGCAGAGCCTTATGTACCTGTACTGACACTGATACTTGCAACCTTAATTTCACAGGATTTTTTGACAATATATATAATTAAAAAATTAATAATATATAGAATGCATAATAATTATATTACTATAATATATATGGTAATAAAATTGTAGAAATAAATATTTTGAAAAGTCATTGTCTAAATATTAAATATGAAGCAATTAAGGAAATATTAGTTTATATTTTAAAAATATCGCATCATACAGGGGTAAACAAGAAAAAAAAAATTATATTGATAATATAAAAAATTAATATATTATATAAAATTCTAGAGATTTTGTCACTAAATCTAGTATAATATTATATAAATATTATGTTAATATGAGTATATATTATATATTTTAATAGAAAATTTTTGTCATTCAAGAAATACTAAGTGCACAAATAGTTTTATTTTTCTGATATTATGTAATAATTTTCTATGTTGTAATTTTTATGTATATAATAATATTATTTGTTTTTATAATATTCTATGCATCAAGTTTATATTTAGACAGTTATGCCGGTACTCGCTGAGGCTTTGAAGCCCAGAAGAATTCAGAGAGGTTGTAAGGGGCATCGATCCATATGTTCTCATTCGCTCCTCTTTGCATAGATTGTAGCCGTCTCACCGGGGAAGAATGGCTTCTCCGTAAGGTGAAGGTGAAGAGACTATAAATTTGCAATATCAGACATTCCTCTGTTTATTAAAATACAAAAAGCACCATTTCAAAAAAGATACAATTGAAAAGATACTTTTTTCATTTGAAATGACAATTTTTTAGACAGTTGAAAATGGATCTGAGGGACACATAAGTCCTCCTCCATATACATTCTTTCCCATTGTAATTTCACATTAGGCCTATACTAAATATTATATTTAAGCATACAAAATATATCACAAATCATACCAAGAATACGTAGCAAAGGGTCATTGCAGTCTGTACTGTATCCAATGTAGCCTGAGGTAATGCAACTCGCTCTTAAACAGGTCATAGAACACTTTACATCATTCATTCATGAGTAGTACATAATCCAGGGGTGATTAATTGTTGGCTACTCGGAAATACTTCGCCACAACCATCCATCTATTGTAGACGCCGGATGCCTGGAGGTTGTTTGCGAGGCTTAGCCGCGAGATGTTCCGTTCTTGAAGTTCAACCGGAAGATCGACTCTTCAGCATACTTACTTGGGCTTTTGGGAAAAATTTCAATCCTGAGTCTCGATTTGTCACTTTTTTTTTAATTCTTTTTTCAGAGATTGCAAGCATTATATTGAAAATAATAACGAAATTGAGAAAACAAAATGAACTAACAAATATTGATCGAAAAATATGCAAATTTAATCAATCTTGAGATGGCCGTCGTTATGTGCAACATGTACGCGACTTTTTTTATCATATAATTAATGGAATGTTTTTGACCTATGAACATTTGGCACATTCCTTCTCTGTGGAGACAATTAATATGATCAGATAAATGCGCGTGCATACATGTAAAGTTATCTTACCTCTGTGTCATATAAAGCAACTATCGACTTTACCATTATTCCTTCACAACTATCGAACTTTACCTTTATAAAGCTGGCATCCATGTATTAAATGAACTAGAGGAATATTTAGTCGGCTCAATCTAGATTGAGCAATAACTCCGGAATAGTAGGAACCTTGAGAAACAAAGTGTTTGATGCAGCAAGTTGAGGAATCTGTGCCTTGAAATGGCATAATCCAAGATGGATCATGCTAGTCAAATTATTATGAGGTATAACGGGAAGCCATGTGAGCTTACGAATAGACACAAGAGCATTAACTAGGACACACCACGTGCCAAAGACGACAACCTTACCTATACACAAGCACATTAAAGAGCGAATGTATCTAAAGAATATTTGATCAAATATGTCATCTTTATTGCTGAGAACTAACATGATTAATGAACTACAAGACTAGCTGAATATTGGTTATATCAAACACTAGCAAGGTCATCCAATGACATACAATTCAAGCATAATTTCAAAGAAGAAAATATGATTTTGCTGAAGAAATTGGGGAAAGTCAAGCTTCATGAACAAACGAAACATCTTACTGAAAACATTAAGGCAGAACTCAATTTACCATCAACAACAAACAAACATTAAATCAAAAACGAAAACAACCTAGATGTTGGAATATGAAACTGAAATTTTGTATTTCAATTATAAAAATTTGTACATATTTATTATTTCTAATAATGTATAAATCATCTAAATAAGGTAAAATTCCTACAAAGCACAAATATAATATATATTTTTTAACATTCTTCCAAACTCAAGATACAATTTAACAAATTTGAGTTTGCCAGAAGTGAACAAATAATTAAGATATAAGAAATCTTCCACGAATGAACTTGAATTTTTCAAGATTGACCGAAAATGAAAGTTGTATAGCCGTCTACTGAATAAAGTCAGAAGCAGAACTCTTAATATCATTAGAGTGGAAAACACAGACCCAATAGACTGTCACTACTAGAAAGGTTGATAATTGCAGAAATTTGTCGTAAATTTTAATCCATTACAATTAAAAGTCACGGAAAGTAATTTCATGACAAACAACTCTCCGTAACTATTCAAAACGGCTTATGTAATGAAAATGTCCAAGATATTTCTATTCCGTGTCGTTTGACTATTTCGTCACAAAAATTGTCACGAAATTTTTTCTTGACTATTTTAATTTGCGCCAAAAATAACCAAAATATTTCCAAAATATTTTAAATTATTACAGATACTATCATAGTATAATTTTCATGACTTTTTAAAATCAAATATCACAACATAAGTAATGAAAACAACTATAATTTTTTTTTATTATTGTTCGTAGATATTCAAAATAATAACAAAATAATAAAATCATCTTCAATATCTTTATTCAATATCGTGCGTAGCTATTCAATTTTTTGTTAAAAATTCGTGATGATATATTAAATAAATATATATATTTTTAAAAGATAAATTTATAATCAATAATATTTATATAGTTAAAATATAATAACAAACAAAAAGTAATACTTTAGAGTAGATAGCTAAGTTGGCATCACAGGTGGTGTAAGTCTTTTTAATTCGTAATTCTGAAAAAAATAATTGTGTGTGGTTGCATTGAATAAAAATTATAATATAATTATATATATTTTTTTTTTTTTCAAAAATATAAAATCACGGAATTGTTACAACTTTCGTTAATATAAAGTAACAAGTGTAATTGTATTATTTTGTAACTTATTATCACGAAAATGTCACCATTATAAAATATTCACGAAAACTTGTTGCAGCTTCTGTTGCTAACGAACATGTCATGCTATTATTCTATAACTTATTGTCACATAAATCTCACCACTTAGAAAAAAAAAAAAAAAAAAGTCACCAGCAAAATTCCACAAAAATAATTCCGTATATTTTTCTGTGACTTTCTAAAAAGTCACCAATTTATATTAAAACAACTATTTTTTAAAATTATTAAAAATGTAATCAATAACGCCATTGCAGTAGTATAAAATATTGTCTAATTTTATACATAAAATATCATTGTAATAATAAAAGCGTAATGGTAAACCTTATAATAATTTCAGCATATGACATATTATATAATCTACTAACATAACAATACATAAAAAAGAATATTAGTATTTTTTAAAATCTAAATTTTATTACAAATATCTTAATCCAACTGTTATTTATTAATAAAAGATTTTAAATAATAAAAAATATTGGAAATTCACAAATATTCTTTGAAAAATTACAGGCTATATCATGGAGGCTATTCCCACAGCATAATAAAATAAATAAATAAAATTATCATAAAACGTTGTTTAGAGTGGGCGGAATCATGGGGAGAAAGAGGGGGCTAAAATCGTAAGTTTTTCTGTGTTTTCTAGAATTTCATGGATTGGTTAATATGTAAGCTGCTGATTGCAAGCTGTGTAAGTGAGATTTGATTGTTGTTGCTGTGTTTAACTTGATCGGAAGTTGTCGAATGTGAATTTGGAGGTAGGGTTAGAACTAATGCGATTATGTGAAATCTGATGTTAGTGATTGGGATTTTTAGGGTTCGTAATTCTCTTGTACTTTACTGATTCGAAGCTGTTTCGATGATTTGTCTGTTTGATTTTGTTTCATCTGAGGTTGACGAGATTTAGGGTTTACTGGTTGTTCTTCGGCTTTTGATTTTTGTAGATGCTAAAAAAACATGTTCATTTTAGTCTTCATGGTATCTATACCCTCGATTGTTGTTTTTGTTGCTTGTTGCTTGCACTGGATCGATTGGAAGTTGAGTGAATGTAAAATTGGGGGATAGTTGGAATTCATAGATTGTTCTTTTTGGATTGAAACTTGGTGTGGTTGTTTGTGTTTTCGATTTGGTTTTCGGGCTAAAAAAATCTAAATGGAGATGGTTTTATTCTCAAAACAGTTAGAAACCCTACATCGAATACCTATATTTTCTGTTAAAGATCCACTCAACACTTACTTTTTTGGAATGTGGGAACACTTCAAAACACACTAGCTTTTCCAAAGTCATTTGATCTCAATCCTGCCCAAAAATGTGAAGGAATAATTGTCTTCATACACATAAATGTTGATGCATTTACGCCGTATGTATTTATGTTCTTATTCGGCACGTGGCTTCCGGTTTCGCCAATGATGCTTATACAGCACGTGGATTGTATTTATGTTTCTTATCCACAAGAGATTGAGAAAATCTTATTGGTGGCAAGTCTTACCATATAAGCAATGAATGTCGGCGAAAAGTTGCTTTAAATGGTTTTTAGTTACATCTAAACGGTTAAAAAAGCTTTTGATTACATTGAACACGTGCGCGTGTAAAGTTTAAAGCTGTTAAATGGGAAGTGATAGTTGCTCTAGATAAACATATCCCTATTTGTGCTATCATGCTAATATGTCAAGAATGTTTTATGATGTTGTTAATGAGCATTTGTATCATTTCTTATATTTGGAACCAAAAGCACACACTACATTTGGTGAGGAGTGTCGATCTTTATTTGTCATGTCCAAGATATATATTGTTTCCTATGTTTAGAAGAACTGACAATTAGAGTATTTAATGAATAAGTGTATTGTTTTCGCCATACTTGATCTTAATACTAAAAAATTTAGTCTTCACCGTGGATTGTAAAACTGATTCATCTTGTACAATGAATGTCTTGAGTTGCAAAGCTTTAAATTTAACTGGAAAACTTCTCAATTCTACTTGATCATTTTATTTTCTTGTGTTCCCTTTTCGCGATCTTCTTTATAAAGTAGTATTGTTATCTTTTCATTCTGGTTTATCTGTATAATTCAATTCTTCCAGATCTGCTTTGGCTGTCCGGTGAAATGATATTGTGGCAAGTCGAGAAGGCGAGCCAGATGGGGATTGCAAGCTCCCATGTGAGATCCTGGAATCGATCTTGTCTAGGATAAACTTGAAAGACAATATCCGCTCCTCTGCTGTCTGTACAAAGTGGTTGCTTGCTGCCCAATCTGTCAGGAATGCTAGCAAGCACCCGTGGCTTATGTTTATCCCAAAATCGCAAGATCTCTGTGAATTCTACAACCCTACTAATCGCAAATCCTATTACCTCAAAGTGCCGGCAATGAAGAGCAGCGCTGTCTACTATTGCAAGGATGATTGGATTCTCTATTTCTGCCTCATAAACCGTCGTCATTTCCTCTTCCACCCGTATAGTGGAAACACTCTTAGCTTGCCAAAACTGAATCAGAACAGCGAAGTTGCTGCATTTTCAGATACGCCAACTTCGCCTTCTTGTGTCGTGTTCTCAGTAACGCGAGGAGGGGGCAACACCGTCTGTATCAGCACTTGCCATCCTACGGATAAAGAATGGAAGAACTACGAATTCAATGTCCTTCCGCAGGCTGTCCAATTTGGTTTCAAACAGATAGCTTACTATGAAGGTACTTTCTGGTGTCTGAACAGAAGAGGCTATTTGGGAATTTTCGGCATTGAAAAGTCTGCTTGGAGTATCCTTCCGGCCCCCCTAGCTGCTCAGCATCCAAGCATTCTTTACACACCGAAGTTCATTGCAGCGTATGAGGGAAATGTGTATATGGTCTGTTCTTTCTACTTAAAACCGGCTATATACAAGCTAAACATTGAAAAGTGGCATTGGGATTTCGCTGAAAGTTTGGGTGAGTTGTCGTACTTGGCAAACCCTGTGAACTCCCAAATCAGGGCTAAAGTGCTTGGGAGAAGGAGGGAACACTCTATTCACTTCTCCAAAGTCTTGTACCATGGGAAGCAAATTGTTACTTATTCGATGAGTGACAGGAGGTTCTATCCATCGAAGAAATGCTATGATTGGGAGGATAAAGATGCCTTTCAGAATGTTTGGATTGATGCTCCTGAGGACACTTCAGTCTTCCTTTGAGTTGCTTGCCTTACGGATCGATGTCTTTTTTGCCGATAGCGAATTTGTTTTTATGTGTTCTATATTAAGCTCTGTGGATAGATTTGGATTTGAAACTTATTTGTGGAGTGTTTATTGTTGTTGTTGTAGGTTGCTATATGTTGTAATATAGCAATGTTTGTTGTGAGATTTGGGATTGTTTGTTGAAACATTTGGAATTGTTTGTTGTTTTATTAATTTCCTTTGATTTGGACGTTGTTGTGTTGTTATTTTTGCATCGGTCTTATTTTGATTTATTTTAGGGTTTTGCCCAATTTATGTTCTTGTCTTTGCTGATGATGTTTTTTTTTTTTTTAATGTTATTTTGAAATATTATATTTGGGATTATTTGTAAGTGACTTATTTCTTGTATACATGAGTTTTATTTCAATTCACTTTAGGTTTTTTGTCTCCAAAATTTTGTGTATGTTATTGCCTTTCAGGGTCTGGTTTTTTTAACCCAATTCTTCAAGCCCAAGGGTTTTTTGTTTTTTATTTTTTTCGATTTGAAATGTTACACTAGAGTTTGTTTGGTGATTTTTTTCTTTTGAATCTTGTCTTGCATAGTGCTTGTATTTTTTATTTTTATACTGTGCGTTTACTTAATTTTTTTAAAATTAAATAAAAAAATATAATTTAGTTTTGAATTATAATTTACATGGATATCTTCAAGTTTTATAAACTAAATTATACTTTAAATGATTTTTATATTTTTTTGAACCAATTATAACAACTAATAGTTTGGAAATATAGCTGGCTATTTAGGTCATTTTTGGACAAATCTACCTTAGACACTGAACTTTGAAAAATAAATATTAAAAATATATTTTCAAAATAAAATAAAATATTGAAAAGTAAAAATAAAATAAAATAAAATAAAATAAAATAAAATTCAAAAGAAGAAATATTTCAACTAAAACATGGTCATAGAATTTTCTGAATGATAAAATATTTATATGAATATCATATGATAAGATCAAAGGTTTAATATTTCTTAATATAAAACTCTATAAATGTTAATGAGAATTCTTTTTAAGATATAACATAATTTAATTTATATTATAATAATAGTTCATTTATATTGATACTTTCTTTCTTAGACACAATCATATACAGTAACTGTTTTATTCTTATGGTTAATTATATTAATATACATTCCCAAGAAAAAAATCTATGCAAATCCCATATAAATTTTATTTTAAGTTAATAAATCGACATGGTCAAAATATAATCCAAATGTTTTATGGTTATCCTTTATTGTTAGAACATAACACAATTATAAATAAAGAACTTGGTAGAGTGGGAGGCTTTCCGACAAGACATAACTTTAAACCTTGATTTCGAATATTACGATTTTTCGTGATCATAAGAAGCGACCGCTTTGGATTCAGAAACACCTCCGGAGCGATCTTTTTGCAAGGTATTTCTATATCAGATCCGACTGTGTTTTTATAAGGTATACTATCAAAAATATTTAGTCTTAGATTTACAATTGATTGCTAATATTATATATATACATGAAAAAAAAAAATGATTGATTATACATTAAAAAAAAAAAAAAAAAAAAAAAAAAAGAAAAGAAGAAAGATATATCGCAAAGTATTTTTATATCAGATGCCATTATGTTTTTAATATATTTATCTTTTCGATTGTTTTATGCCTTATGGTTGCGAATATCAACAGTAACAATGGATTTTTGAAATTGATTACTACTATTATATATACAAGAAATAATATTTATCGCTACTATTTTAACGTTGTTCATAAAGAAAATATAGAGAAAACTTTCTTTAGTGTCCTCTTTCTCTAAACATTAAGGCTAATAATAAATTAGCCGTTATCAATTTTGAACACAAGAATATTTCATGAGTTTTAAAAATAATTAAAGTTTAGATCGCCGAATATTCCAATAATATATGTAATCCAAGTCCTAGATCGATCCGATGGTCACTTAAAATCCTAATGTTTATACACTCACATTTCTTTTCCGACTATGTACTTTTAATTTCTTTTTTCGTTACTTCGGTTATTGATAAATCTTTGAAAAAAAACATAATATTGGCATAGGTTTAATTTATAAATTAAAATTTATTTATTTATTTATTTTTTTTTTTTTTGCTTATCTATTATTATTATGACATATGTTTTTTTTCTATTTTTACAATTTTACTCAATTGTTTAGTAACATTTTCAATTATTTAGTCTGTTTCATGTTAGGTTATTTGGATTGGTTCTCATAATTAGTTGGGTTTAATACAAAAATAAGTAATTATATCTAACACCAACCGATATTAATACCAATAATAAATTATAGGGAATCATATATATATATATATATATATACACATCATATATGATTAGATTTGTTAACAAGATTAATACTAAAATATCAGTCTTGTTCCGTACAGTACATAAAATATATATATAGAGAGAGAGAGAGAGAGAGAGAGAGAGAGAGGAAAAGCAGTGCATAGCACGTCCCACGTTTATATATATATTTATTTATTTATATTTTTATTATGAGATAAATTAAAAAGGGAATATATAATTAATTTAACATATGGGGCAATAGATTCATTCTGCACTGAAATGTTTTGATGTCTCAGCATAAAATAATGTGATGGGATTATATTAATATTTATTATTAATTAAATGAATATTGGAAGACAAATCATCAAATTAATTCATTCTTGGATTAGGTTTCATCCTTAACAAACAATACTTCTCTCTCTCTAAATAATTGTAATACACAAAATAAAATAAATAATATCACCAATCATTTGAACACACACATCTTACACTTTCATGTCGTCCACTAAAACACAAATTCCATTCTCTCTCTCTCTCTCTCTCTCTCTCTCTCTCTCTCTCTCTCTCTCTCTCTCTCTCTCTCTCTCTCTCTCTCTCTCTCTATATATATATATATATATATATTAAACATTCCCTGAATAGAAGCTTTGATTTTTGTGCTTGAACTAAAAAAAAAAAGTTATTTTATTAGCAATAATTAATAAATAAATGTACATTATGATTATTATTCGTGCCTGCAGCCTGCAGGGAATCGAAGCTACCTATTAATGGCGATCCATTCTTCATCTTCTTCCTCTTCCTCTTCTATTTCTTCTTCTTCTTCAGGTCTGCATTAATAATCAATCAATCAAAATGCTGCACCAATTCCAAACCCTAACCCTAACCCTAACCCTAATTTCATTCTGATTTCCCTAAATTCAATTCCCAATATCATACATTCAATCAATTTCGATCCCACAGGGTAGGTAATTTACAAAAAATGATGGGCATCAAGAAGCTCAGGTCCGTCAGGAAACTAGCAAAGAAGGTCAAGGTAATCGGCGGCGCCGTAAATAATCCCAAACCCCCGCAGTACGAGTGCTTGCCCGGCGGCGAGACCAACTCCGGCGGCCGGAGAGGTGGCGGAACTTTCGCCGTGTACGTCGGAAAGGAGCGGGAGAGGTTTGTGGTGCCAACAGCGTACCTTTCGCACCCTCTGTTTAAGATACTGCTGGAGAAGGCGCGTGAGGAGTTCGGATTCGAGCACCAGGAGGGGCTGGCGGTGCCGTGCAGCGTTGCCACATTCCGGCAGGTGATCCACGCCGTCGAGACCAGCAACGGCGGGTTTTGCATTGGGGAGCTCGTTGAAGGTGGAGAGTTGTCGCCGCCACCCCCAAATCGATTAATCCGTACCATGTCGTTGCAGGGATGACTCGAACTCTATATATATATATATATATATATATGTATGATTTTTGTGTTAGAAGTGATGATGATCATGACTTGTTAATTGATCTAATCTGATGTGATTTTTTGGTGTTAACTATGGAAGTGGTGATAGGAATATATATATATATATACATATATATATAGTATGTGGTTTGCGGTGCCAAATTAGTCATAAGTCTCTCTCTATAAATGAGTCATTTTGGATTGAGTTTTAAGACACCAAAAATTGATAAATAACATTTTCATATATAGTTGTGGCTTATGTATTTTATCTAAGGTTGCGATCTTTTGTGGATTTTAGTACAATTTTTATTATTCAAATCCTTTTTTTTCTCTAAAAATATCACATGAAATAATTACTTTTTTTATATTATACTCCCTCCGTCCACTTAGAAGGTTGACATTTGTTTTTTGCATGCTGATCTTTAAATATTAATGATCATATCAAAATATAGTACAAATCAAATCAAAAGAAAATGACAAAAAATATATTTATTAGTGTCTTATAATACAAATATAATGACATTTGTATAAAAAATTATACAAATATAAGTATATTTTTAATGTTAAATACAATGACACAAAAGGTAAATATAAACTTATTAAGTGGACGGAGGGAGTATTATAAATTTAATTTACTTTTTTTTATATAGTTGTCGCATCAAACAATTATTCAAATTTAACTTTTTACTATTCAAAAATCCAAAACCCACAAACAAACATACCCTATAGAGTTTTATAGGAGATAGTGAGTTATGGATTTTAGAATTGTTACGGGTCGGATCGCGGGCACCGGGTTACGGGTCGGGGTTAGGGCTTATGTTCAATTGGGCCACAGGATTAAGTGTGTTTGTGTATGAATCCAATAATAGTCTCTATACAAATTTTATGAACCAAAATTTTATAACAGTTTGTTCATAGTTATGTGTAATTGGTCTATATATTATATAACTGATTAATCTCAATTATCATGGTGATTAATTTTATTATTAAAAAAAATTAAAAGTATACATATGTAATAAGAGCAACATAGATAGTTCTATGTGGAGAGAAGAAGCCAACTTTGCATGACATAAAGAAAAGCCACCCACCCAATAAAATCTCATTCCCATTAACCACTTTCTTTAAATTATCTACATTTTTAAATATATTCTACACCTAACAAGGTCTAAATTTCCTAAATTTTCTAATCACATTTTCCTTCTACAAATTTGTGCTATTAATTTATTCATAATCATTAAATCACTCCTATATTTAGAGTTGGTTCTTACCTGATTTTAAATTAAAATTAATAGTATTATTTATCTTTTACAATTTTAATAAAAATACATTATTTTATCTTGCAAAATATCACATCAAAATATTATTTAAACAAAAATTCAAATAGCATTTTATTTCAAATCAATTTTAAATCGCAGCTAAACAGACCCTTTTTGTATTCAAATATAGAAAATAAATAAAAACATTAGAAACAATCTTTCCACCTTAGCTTCCCTTTTCCATTCCAACATTATATACACAAACATATATTTATATATATACATATATATATATCTACAATCACAAATTTCTCTTCTCATGGATATGATGGTACTCTCTAAAAGTTGTTGTAGTTGTTATCATTATTTTTAATTAATTTGTCCTCCTCAATTTATACAAACCCTAATATTCATTCCTTCATTCATATATATCATATGTGTGATTGATCTTTAATTGTTGTAGGAGAATCGACATAAAGATCTTCCTAAGGATGTCAAATACGACGAGGTAAGTAAGATCCTACGTTAATCAATCAATCAAAATCAAGAAACCATATATATATATATATATATGCCAGATCTGATGTGGATTGATCGTGGTGGTAATAACTTATATATATATATATATATATATACAAAGGAGTACGTAATAAACCGACGAGGGGTAAAGCTATTCACGTGCTGGTGGCGATCGCCGGCGGCAGGCGGCGGAGGACCAAAGGGCCTGGTGTTCCTATGCCATGGTTACGCCATGGAGTGCAGCATCTCAATGCACGGCACGTGTATCTTACTTCATCTGTTCATCAAATTTATTTATTTTTAAAATAGAATGGGTTTATTTTGTGTTTTTGTTTACAAAATTTTATGTAGATAATATAAGAATAATGAGTGTGTAAATATATAAATATTTTTTAAAAAATATGTTAAAAAAAAATTGTTAAGTGAACGAACACATGTTGGGGCCAATCAATATGATTTGAGTATTCATCCAATTATGTTCATTTGACTGGACATGAATTTTATAAAAATAAGGAAACATAATAATTTTTACTTTTTTGAGTAAAATTTTTTATTTTTTTATTAAAAATTAAAAATAAAAATAAATTTAGATCACAATTGAAAAGAAAAAAAAAAGATAAATTTGAACGAGAGAGTGGGATATTTGTTTATTTAATTATTTATTTAGTTAATAAAATTAAATTAATAATTGATTATATTATAGTATTATATTGCAGCAGGGTGTGCGGTGAGGCTGGCACGGGCAGGGTACGAGGTTTACGGGGTGGATTGCGAGGGCCACGGCAAGTCGTCGGGAATGCTCGGACTTATTCCTAATTTTGACAATCTTGTTGACGACCTCTTCAATTGCTTCACTGCCATTTCGAGTATTTATTTTTTTTATATTTTTTTAATAATTAATTAATTTATATATTATAATTATTAATTTATAAAATTGTTTGTGACCGAATGGTAGAGAAAAAGGAGAACGAGAGAAAGATGAGATTTGTGATGGGGGAATCGATGGGAGGCGCCATGGCCCTCCGTTTGCACTTGAAGGACCCGGACTTCTGGGACGGCGCTGTTCTTGTGGCCCCCATGTGTAAGGTAATTAATCTGCTTTTTTCTTTCTTTTACTTAATTTTACTTTTCTATTTTTTAATTCTTCTACATATTTTCAGTTTGTTTGGTTACCTTATAAATAGTTGTCGATAAAAATATTATTTTTCACAAAATAAAATATTATTTAAATACAAATTAAAATTAAAATTTTATTTAAATTAATTTCCGCTTTATTTTTAAACTCAAAAAAAAAATTCAAAAAAATTAATATATTATATTCATTTTTTATTTTTATATTGTCTACACAATTTTCTATATTTCACATAAAAATTTATTATCCTTGGCACAAAAATTTAAATCGTTAGTATTAAATATGATAATTTGAGATAAAATAAAAAATACAAGTTAAACAGTATTTGACCTAAATGCACCCAAATTGTGAATAAATTTTAGAATTTTAATTTATAAACCTCTAAAATTTTAAAAATATATATTTTTCTTATATTTAGCTTAAAAAACAGTAAAAATAAACTCTTAAAACCTGATAAAATAATTATTTTTTAGTATATTTATTATTTTTTAGACTAAATACAAGAAAAATGAATATATTTATAATTATAGTAGTTTAAAAATTGAGATTTTAAAATTTATTTTTAATTTGGGCGCATTTATGTCAAATACCGTTAAATAAGGACTGCCGAGAGGATTAGACGCAGAATTTATGAAACCACGAAAAAATTTGACGCAATTTTAAAAATATAAAAAATTTGATGCAATTTCATGAAACCACCAATAGATTTTGTACGGCCATAAAATAAACACAATCAAAGGTTTGTGTTTTTATCGGACCCAAATGTATTATTTGTATGGATAGATAGCTGAAGAGATGAAACCGAGCCCATTGGTAATAAAAGCGTTGACTTCACTGGCTCGACTGGCTCCAACTTGGAAGTTGACTCCGTCGCCGGACATCGTTGACTCCGCCTTCAGAGATCCACGTGTCAGACAACAGGTCCTCTCATTACATTCTTTCATTTCCACACTCTGACTCTTACTCGTCATTATCATCAGTATTGTTATTTTTTAAAAAATTGATTTTATTTGAAATTATTTTTAGTACTGTTGTAATAAATGAATTATAATAATAGTAGTGTGGTATTTAATTAATTTCAAAATTGGGTAATGGTGACAGATTCGATCAAATCCGTACACGTACAAAGGCCGACCCCGCCTTCAGACCAGCCATGAGCTTTACAAAGCCTGCCTCGATTTGGAGAAACGACTTCGTGAGGTAACCCTCAACTCACTCATTTCATCCTTTCATAATACTAAAATACATTTTTTATTATTTTTTTCGTTTGTCTTGTCTTTTTCGTCGGGTCTGATTTGCTGGATATTAGATTCGGTCGGATGTTTACACAATACGTATTTTCGGGTAGTAACTGCGGGTTCCACGTTATTCAAAAAAAATACATTAATTTTTTTAAAAAAAATTGTATTTTAAATAATGTTGATGTGCAAACCCGAGTCCCGCATTGGACGAAGAAAATTGCACACCTTATAAGTCACAAGTGAACTCCACTAGAATGAGACCTTTTGGAGGATATCCAAAAACAAATCCGTGCGGGCTTAGCCCAAAGCGGACAATATCATACTAGTGTTGAGTTGACCCAGTCTCAACTCTGGTATCAGAGCCCGGTTAGATGGTGAAGTGGACTAGGTGGCATTGGGCATTGGTTGTGGTGGTGGGCTTGCTCCACTAGTATGAGGCCTTTTGGAGGATATCCAAAAGCAAATCCGTGCGGGCTCAGACCAAAGCAGAAAATATCATATCTGATCTTCTTATTATTTACTCCCTCCGTCCCACATAATTTGTCCCTATTTTCTATTTTCGTCCGTCCCACATAATTTGTCCTTTCCTTTTTTTGAAAAATTAATTATACACTTTAATCATATTTTAAAATTTAAAATTTAAATTTTTTTTAATCTTAATTAAACTATTTAGTTATCTAAATCTTAATCTATAGTTATTCTTACTAAATAATCATTATTTTTACTAATATATTTTTTAATTAATTACTAATTATACTTTACCTAAATTCTCGTGTCTACAGTAATATACTCATATTATATGGGACGGAGGGAGTAGTTTCATAATTAAAATTTGTATAAAAATCGTCCAATAAGTGATTTTTTTTTTTTTTGGCAAAATTGGTCTTTCGGTCCGAATATGTCTATGTAACACGCGTCTAAGTACATCGGAGCACACATTTCCACGAGATAATAACAAAAAAAAAGTTACTATAGAATTAAAATGATAAAAACATCAATTATGAAACTAAAAAAATCAACGTGTCCGTAAAAAAATCCAAAAAAAATAATAATAATAAAAACATCGAACTAAATTGATAAATAGTTAGTTATGGGACGAAGAAAAAATTTATATTTCCGCCAGATGATGTCTATCTGGCGGGCACGTGTGCTTCAGCGTTCCAGGGAGTGCCACGTGCACATTTTTTACACTGGAAGACCAATTATGCCTGAAAAATCATTTATAGGACGAGGCGACGGCTACTTTTTTTAATGTAAAATTCAGTACTGTACTGAATAGTACACTGTGTGCTACAAAATTGCATACGGTGTTACCATAAACAGCACACAATATATCTTAATATAATATAAATACAGCACATGATCTAACAGTGCATCATACAGCACATACAATACTTCATTTTAGCATATGATATACTCTCATACAGCACACGCTATTATATTGAACTAACATCACATATTTTTATTACAAACAACACATTTTTTATATAATAAAGACGTGTGTTATTTCATTGTAATCATCATCATTGTTAAAATTGTATTGTGTGTCTACTCGTTTATATTTGTATTAATCTATACTATATGCTAAGATTAGTTGTAAGATATGTTATGTGAACTGTTTTATTATAGTTAGTATTATATTAATGTATATTAATGTGCTATCAATTTACATCTGTACGTGCTAACTAATTCATCACAGTTACTGTAGTCAATTTTTAGATATATCTGTAGTACGTTTCTTCTTCAAAAGCATGATGATCAAATCCTTGCCAGAAACCAAAAAAATGATAATAGTGTAATCAAACAGGTCTCCTTACCCTTCATTGTCCTGCACGGAGAAGACGACAAGGTCACCGATCCGGCGGTGAGCCGAGTCTTGTATGAGACGGCTCGCGCTACCGACAAGACGTGGAAGCTCTACCCCGGGATGTGGCATTCCCTCTCCTACGGCGAGCTACCGGAGAATCTCGACATTGTATTTTCCGACATCATCCAATGGCTCGACGACAGAGCCTCTGCATCTGCCGCAAAATTTGAAGAGCAGCTCAAGATCGACAATGACCACAATGCCAATGCCCCTAAGAAAATGATATGATTCTACGAACCCCTTTCAATAATTTACGGCGACCATTCGTCGAATCCCTTTCCTTACCAAAAAACAAAAAAAAAAACATTCAAAGTTTTCGATGTAAAATGATCGCCGCGCCGTCGTAACAAAGTACTCAAGCTCAAAAGAGCAGCCTTTTTTAACATAGTAGAAATATATATATATCAGATCGGATCCTCTGTCCCAAAAATAAATTCTATCCTCCTATCCTCACACATGTAGTGTATAAGACATACATACGTGTGTGTATATATATATACATTATGTGTGTAGAGATATGGAGATAGGTTTTATTTTTGGAACAGATGATCTCAGGGTATATATAGGTATATAGATAGTACCTAGTTAATATCGATACAAAGTCGAGAATCTAGAAACTTCTAGAAGCATCCGTCGATTAGAAGCCTTTTGACACGGTCGACGAGCTCGGTGATCTGATCCCGGGAATGCAGAGGAGCGGGATAGACGCAGGCGCAATCGAGCTCGCCGTTGCGGACGGTGTCGAACATGCCAATGGAAGGGCCAATGCCGTGGGCTGATGCGCAGCCGATGTAGTCCTCAACGCCAATCTTCTGCTGCATTTTCTTGGAGTTGTCGATGACGGGGTCCTCGAAGACGGAGATCAAGGCGCTGCGGAGGGACGAGGATGCCGTGAGGCTCGGATTATCGACGGCTTTGGACATGAGGAAGTTGAGATCAGCCATGTCCGAGAAGTGTCTGTTGCACTTCTTGTACTCTTCGAACACTGAGTAGCAAATCTTGGCTAAGTCCCACAGGTTTTCTGTGCCCTTCACGCTGTGGATGTTGAGGATCGCCGAGTGGTAGAAACCTACAATCAATATCAACAACTCATAAATATTTTCAAAAAAATATCACTACCAAATATTTAAAGCAAAATTGCTCATACTCAAGTTTGAAAAGTTTGAACAATTCCCACTCCTAATACAAAATTGTATGAAATAAATTTTTGTGCAATATTTTTTAAAAAGACGAACGAGTCTCGCGCCATTTTAAAGGGATTACCTGCCTCTGATGATGACCCTTTTATTGATGATAGCAAAGAGAAATGAATAGATATTTTAAAAATTACGAAACTGTCCATGCAATTTCTAAAATAATAATAGAGAATTTTCAAATTAGATTATAATCAAAATTTAAATTTATTACTATTTTTAAAATTTATCAAAATTTCAAAACTCGATCCAAGTATGCCCCTTTCGAACTCAACTCAAATATGTTATCAGTATAAGTTTGAATCAGCTCATTTAGGAATACAAGCTAAAGGAAATGATGTGCTGATTTAGAAAAATCAACATCTGATTTTTCAAATCAGCATCCATAACAGATACAAACAATACATATTCATATTATATAAATATATATTATGTGTAATAAAATGATATATTATTTGTTCATAATTATATGTATATTGTATAAGAATATATCATAGGCTAAAATCAACTACTGCCTGCTGTATAAAATTATAGCATGAACTATTTCATGTGATACATTTATATTGTATTAAGATATACACGGTATTGTTTATAATAATATTATAATGACTTAAACGCATATGGCAAGGTTTGACCATATATGTGTATGTATTTAAATAGAGAATCAGAGTTTTAATGCAGAAAATGATGTCTTACACTAATACATAAAGGGACAAAAATATCCTACAATTAATTAGTCTAATACGAGCTGGTTTATAGAAATAATAATTGTCGAGCTTATCAATTTCTATAAAAGAGTCGAGTCGGGTCATTAATGAGTCAGGTCAAGGTCGGCACGTGAGGTGCACGGTTCCATATTAATTAAGCGGCAATGGCAATGATCTTACCGAAGTGATGAGCAGGAAGAGGTGGATCGAGAATGGAGCGACAATCGGTGAGAGTCACGACGCCGTATTTCTTCTTGTCGGAGCTTTGGGATTTCGTAGAACGAGCAGCAAGTAATGCAGCTGCTGCTAGAGCTCCACACAGTTTAATTCCTTTGGATTTGCAAATCTGACGAAGAAGATTCAAATCCATCAGTTTTGATTAATTAGCTAATGTTGAAGAGATGCAGAACATTCTGGAAACAGAGGAACAATTTTGATTGCAGTTATGGTTATGAATCCTTTCAGCTAAATCATGTTCTTCATTGCATTCATTATTCAGGAAATAATCAGATGAAAAGTGAGGTTTCTGCAGATTAATGGATTCCTAAACATCAACACTCTCGAATCTCGATAGTCGCGTGTTCATCACTGAAATTCGTACCGAAACAGAAGACTTGCAGCTACAGATCCTAGAGACACGCGTAATGATAAAAGCAAAAAAAGCTTCAGCAGATCTTCAGCAATGGTCATTAATGGCGGAAACAGAATGCATAGCAGCAGTTGTTGAGAAGATTTAATGCGAATCGCAATCAATACGACAGGAAAAAAGCACACCGCTACGAATTTACAGCAGAGAAAAGCGGAAATTGAGTCAAACTTACAGCGAGAATGGAGGCAGTGCAGCGCGCGTTGATTTGAAATCTGACGACCTCCGAACGCCTCGCGGATTTCGTGTTTTTGAATTTCAAATTTGTTAACCGAAAGGAGTTGAGAGAGTATCCCAACATGTCCATTCCATGTGACCATAACGTCTTCTTCCCCATTCCGTTAGGTATCAGACTTTCGATCCCCTTTTCCCCTTCCCCTTCGTTTTCGATTTCCTTTTTCGCCGCTCCTCCTTCCTTCTCCTCCACCAGCTCCATCAATTCCATCAGAAGCTCCTCCGCCGTGGTCCTATCGCAGACCGAGGTGTGGAACCGCAGCACCACGACGGCTCTCGCGTCGGACAAGGCGTATACACTAGCGTAGAACACCTCGACGCCGTCGGAGGGGAAATCGCCAGGATCTGACCAGTTGTTGGCGTTCAATTCCTTTTCTAAGATCAATTGAAGCGGAGATAGGCTAGGGAAACCTCCGGCGGAGAGATTTCGGAGAATCTCAGCCGTCGCTCGAGCATCGTGAACCTCGAGACGAACCTGCCGAGGAGCAGACGCGATGAGGAACGAGAAATTCTTCGAGTTCCTGCAATAATGGAGCTTAGATCGGAGTATAGGATGAGATTTCTGAATCTTCAGAAGGATATCGGAAAGTACGGAGGTCTCCGACGGCGATTTCGCCATCTGAAGCGCCAGCACGGTGACGCCGGTACCGGACGACACCGCACGGCACCAGTTCTGCTCTGTATTCCCAAGCTCTCGACGCCTATCGGAAAATCCATCGGAAACTTGACCGGCGTCAGGCATTTCTCAAATTCCGGCGACGGAGTTGCAGAGTGTTGGTGGATGGCGAAATCTGCATGTCTGATACGTAGGCATTTATCAGTCTCCACAGGGGTAAGAAAATAATTTCATTCAATAATCTGGCAGGCATAATAAATCGCTGTCACGTGAGTGGCACGAGGGGATATATATTTATATCTCTATCTATACGTACCCACATTTATTGAAATCTTATCTAACCTTTATACTCTAAATACCTCACCCACTATATATATATATTTGCCACATAGTAAATATTCAATAAATAGATATACAATGTCACTTTCATTTTCTGGAAAATGATTACACATTTTAATTTCATTTTAAATTTTTTATTAAACTAATTAGCTATCTTAATCTTAATTTATAATTATTTATATTATAAAATAATTATTTTTACTAATACATTCTTAATTATCTGATAATTACACCTATCCTAAAATACCGCGTCTACGGTGTAGCAGTCACTATATTTGTGACGGAGGAAATAGCAAAGAAGTCAAAATAAATAAATACAAATAAAAAAATAAACTAAAATTATTTCATCATGTGACATCCCTAAAATGCAATAAATAAACATGGTTGGGTGGTGAAATATAACACTAAACCTTAAATGCTATTTATTGTTAGCCAAATTTCTTACCAAATGTAATTTCTATCGCTTTCTAAAATAGTTCATCAATTTTATTTAATTCTCAGTTGTTAGCAATTTCTGATATATACGGAGGGAATTCAGATCAGATCACGTGCTGATGTTTAATTTTATTTAATATATATATATGTTGAATTTATTTGGGTCGTTGATATTAATTCTTGGTATCAAAGTTAATTAATAGTGTTTCATTGTTTTTTAGTAGTTGAATCATAATTCCATGATTTTGTTACATAAAACACCAAATATTTTATTTATTTGCATTAAACATACCGAATGTCTAAAATTGATATTTGATTTTAATAATATATCTAAGTTTTATACAAATTAAAAAAAAAAAAAAAAAAAAAAAAAAAAAAAAAACTTAAAATATCTTAAATAAATTTTTTTGAATTAAATAAATAATAAATAATTAATCGATCATTAATTTTTATAGTTTTTATAAATATCAGATGATAATTTGTCTCCAAAAACTATAAAATGAAAGATTAATCAATTATTTATTTATTTATTTTATTAAAAAAATTATTTAAAATATTTTACATTTTTTATTTATATGAAATTTGCTTAATTAGATATTTATTTATAATCAAATATCAGTTTTGAACAAAAAATGTATTTCATGCACACAATAGATTTGAGGCAATAAATAAAATATAAAGTATTTTTTGTATTTTTTACTAAAACAGCATAACCTCTAAGATTAAGTGTCACCTAATATTACTTTCTCACAAATATATTTTTTTAAAATTTTATAATAAATTAAAAAATAATAATATCTTATTCATTAGTAAATATATAAAATGATTTTAAAATTCTTATTATTTTTACTTTATTTATATGTTTAATTGTATTTTGTAATTTATATAAAAAAATTATAGGTATTTTAATATTCACGTCTGATTACTTTATTAGGAAAGAGACACTTTTAGTATAATAATAAAAAATAAAATATAAAATAAAAAATCGAATGATATAGAAAAAAGTATTTGAATATACAAATTAAAATTACCTATAGATATTTTAGTAAATTAAAAGGAAAATTATTTGATTGATAGTATATGTGTGATGGAATGCGGTTCTGATTTTTCCAAATAGAGCATGCTTTATTTATTTATATTTAAAACATGTACTCCATCGGTCCAAATATAATAGTCTTATTTATTATTTTTATTCGTCTCAAAATAATAGTTTTATTTTTATAAATAATCATATAACTGTAAAATTATCCTTATTTTTTCATTATTATTACACAATTGTCATTGCTTTTTACACTAATATACTTACAAGAGCAAAAAAGTCATTTATCCTTACTTTTTACCAACTACCAATATAATATCAATATTCATTAAATTTCGTGTCCACACATAAGACTATACTTTTGGGACGGATTGAGGATTATATAGAAGTATCACATATGCTCCGTATGAGTATGTTATTTGCTCTCTAGAAATATATCATATATTTTAAATTTTTGTATTATATTTGTATTTGAATTTGAATTATATATTAAAAAAAAAATTATATACTTTTTGTAATAATATTGTATATTATCTAATAGCACACGATGTGTTATTCAACATATTTCTAATTTTACCATAACCCGCCATAGTGATGAAATAATAAGGACAAAATTATTGTACCGTAGAAGATAGTTTGTGGTGTAGTGATGTACTCGTAACAATTATTATATTTAAATTTATCAAAACAACATATCAACTGTTCTTTTCAGGAATGTATGTAAATATATAGCTCCTATAAAAATACAGGTCTTTCTTTGATACTACAAGAAAAGGTAAACTGTTTTTTTAGTCCCTAGAATTCCTTATCATTTTAGTCTCGTAAGTGGAACCTGTCGTAAACTAGTTCTATAAGTGAAAAATTTTCGTTGTTTCAGTCCTCCGGCGCTGAAGATGCCTGCGTGGCTCGCCGGAGCTGACGTGTCCGCTATAAAAATACAGGCCTCTCTTTGATACTACAAGAAAATAAGGGCCCAATATGTTTAAATTCATGGGCCAATACAAACTATTCAGAAAATGAGTAAAATGTTAAGTTAGACTGTTTTTATTTAAGCCTTGAATCTACTACTTTCGAGCTATTCACTAGTCAAATACATATTTTTTTTATTAATATATTTTAAAAATTATTTTTCATTCACAATATCACGAAAATCCAATTTATACTAAAACTTTTATTATTTCAAATATTTAAATTCAAATCCAAACTTTAAATAAACATACGCTTAGAAATTTCATTTAGGGTGTGTTTGTTTAGGTGTTTGGATTTTGAGTTGGGATTTGAATTTTAAAAATTTTGAATTTGAATAATTGTATGATGTGATATAAATAGGTGTTGATGTGATGTTTTGAATGTAAAATTGATTTTTAGTATAATATAACAAATAAAAAATAGGGGTTTGATTTGATGTTTTTTGGGAAAAAATTTTGGATGAATAGTAGAATTTAGATGAAATCCTACAAACGAACATACCCTTAATGTATATAAAATTATAGCCCCGACTTCAATACGGGCCTATCCTCGAAGTAATATACCCCGAAAATTAATGGGCCCAGTAGCTATAATCATCGGGCCCAATACAAATTATTCAGAACTTAAAATAAAGAAAAAAAAATAACAAAAAGAAAATCAAATATCTATTTTGTGTAATAACTTAATTTAATTTTTTTGTGTAATAATTTGTTGATCACTGGTTCATGTTCTTAGGTCTGTTCATGGACCATGCCCGAAGGGTGTCGATCTGGACATTCTCTGAGCCATTGTTGAATACATATAAATGTGCATTCTCGTACACTGCAAGAGTTGGATAAACCCTCGACGAAATGCAAGTTTTTCCTCCTTCGCCAAAGCTCTCAACCACAGAATTGTCGATCTGAAAAAAATAAAAACAATCAGGAGAAATTGAGCGATGAAATCAGGACCGTTTGTTTGGTTCGATCTTGCAAAGATCGATGAATAATGATCGTTCGATGGCTTGGCTTACCAAGCTCCGGAGGGACAGCTTCTTCTTGGACAAATCGGCGTCGATGAATCCGGCGAACGATGGCCGGTATGATCCCTTCCCGTCTTTCAACGATGACCTAAACACAATCGAAGAACGCCGTTAGGTGTAGGAGTTTCGATATTAACGTTGTTGAAAAACAAACTCAAATCTCATATCGAAACAAAAAAATAAATAAATAAATAAAACATATATCAACTGACAATACAAGGTATATGATAATATAATACAAATATAACATATAAGTTGAAAGCATACCACAATAGTCAACATAGCATATGCTATAATTGATCTCAGTATATAAGCTATATTAACACAGTACATGTATAAAATAAATCAGTTAGCACATACTAACAATCTATACAACATGTATTGTATATATTGTTATCATGTACTATTAAGTTATATTTAATGTATGGCAAAATTGTCAATAACCGTCCCATGATTTCGAAACTTAACGTAAATTCTCATATATTTTAAAAATTGTACAGCGATCCCTTAAATTTCAAAAAACGTTGCATTAAACCTTTCTTTTACATTTTTGTGTAATGAGAAGATAATTTATCATCTATATTTTTTTGTATGGCGGAGGTTTCATACAACGTTTTTTAAAATATAGGAAGGCGCGATGCAATTTTTAAAATATAAAGGATTTTACATTGAGTTTTGGAACTACATGAGAATTATGGACAATTTTGTCTTAATATATTTATATGTTGAATAGAATAATCAGTATGAGGTTGATTCTCTCAATTCAGCACCCTAACATGTCTCGATGTTATGTGTTGTATGTAAAAACTAAGGTAAAAAATGCGACGGGGAGAATATTTTTACCTCGATGCATCAGAGCACATGAGGACAATGTGCTTCGATTGATCCTTGAATACGCGGAAGAAGACCGGCGTAAACTCTTCGAGCTTTTTAGACGCGAGTGTCGCAAGTCCGAACGGTCCTAATCCGCCATGTACGGTTGAGCCCTTCTTGCCGCAAAGCTTTTGTGCGTCGTATCGATCCCACTTTGGGTCGAACGGTTCAGCTTTGTCCAAACTATTAAATGAAAAAACCACCTCGACGTCTGCCTGTAACAAAATTTTAAATGAGATAGTCATTCAACTGACTTATACTTGACCTTACGCATTTGTTAAATGAAATTAAAAAATTGCTTACTTGAGCGGAGGTAATATTTTTTATCTCGATTATTCTCCCTTTCTCGAGCTTTTTATTCTTTATCTCGATCTTCTTTCCCCTCAATTTTTTTATTTCTTCGACCGGCCATTGTAGCAATTGCTTCCCACTCGGATCCAACCATACCTTACGCGGGATTAGCTGAAAAAAAAAAAAAAACACATGATAATTATATATATGAATGTACTATAAACAAAAAAGAAAAAAAAAATTGATAAGTAATGAAAAAACTAAGTTGAAAATATAAGAAAATAGAGTTTTTTAATCGTCGTTGAAAGCAAAAGTTCACTACAAGAAAATATCATTTTTTTAATGAGATTTTTTTGTCTCTAAATTTATTTTTTTTTGTTACAAAATTAGAGATGAAATTTAGTTTGCTATGTGAACTTTAAAAATAAAATTTTGTTATAAATATACTATTTTTTTTAAGTGAAATAATAAAAATTTGAGTACCTGAATCCCGGCCCAACCTTTTTCGACATCATCGGCCATGCTATCCGACTCGTTCGCCCAACCCCACAAGATTCTTCGATTCTTTTTCGGATCGAAGAATGTCTTGGAGGCATAGAAGTTTCCATAATCATACCTCAAGCCATTCCATCCATCGATCATATCCTTGCCAGGGGTATATTTGTCATTTTCATAACTCCCAATCGTGTAATACTCGTATCTCGTTACGTCCAGGCTGACCTTCATCACGTGCCTCACGTGCGCCCCGGCAGCCGAAGTATCCAAACCGCTCTCGCCGGAAACCGCCACCGGAAAAAAGTCCGGGCACTCCCAATTCCCGGTCCCGGCCGTCGTGTGCAGCGGTTGCTCTGCCTTGAGCCACCGCACGAAGTCCTTACTCCGGTACAAATAGGCGATGCCGCGGTGGCCCCACCGGCCGCCGAGGGAGAGGCGCCACCGGCCGTCGGCGGCCTTCCAGGCGGTGGTGGGATCGCGGAAGGCGGTCTTGTTGATATACGGGTCGGGTTTGATGAGGGGGTTGTTGTCGGGTTTGACCCATACCCGGAGATACGGGTCGGATAGGTTGGCGGGTATGGCGTAGTTCTGGACCTGGGTATTGGCGCCGTCGATGATTCCGGTGTAGAGGATGACGGGTTTTCCGGCGACGATGGTAGCGGAGCCCGACCAGCAGCCGTAGGCGTCGAAGGTCCGGGACGGGTAGATGGCGTTTTCCAGGCGCTCCCAGGACACGAGGTCCCGAGAGACCGAGTGGGCCCACACGATGTTGCCCCAGACAGCGCCTTTTGGGTTGTATTGGTAGAACAGATGGTAGACTCCGTTGTAATACATCGGTCCTATAATAATAAATTATTATTATTATTATTTATTATAAATAAAAATAAAACTATTTAAATGAAACAATTTGAATAAAGAATGAGAAAATATAGGTGATGCATGAAGTATTTTATATATATATATATATAAATATATATGGATTTCAAAATTATTATATGGTTAAATGTTAATTTTAGATAACTCTTTTTTACTTAATGAATAAGTATATATATGCTACAATATTGATAAAATATTACTATTTCATCTGCTTTAAAAGTACATATTTATTTATTGCCCAAAATTTGATTAATATTATATCTTAACAGTAGTAGTTGACGGTGTTGGAGATTTTTGTTTGCAGATAAATATATTAATGTTGAATTTTTTAATAACTTGAGCTTTTAAATGAGATGGTCATTCTGCTCATTCAAAAATAAAAATAAATAATAAAAAGAAAAAATTCAGTGAACAGGAGAAAATATTAATTATAAAAATAGTGATAGTGTATTTTTTTTTATCAAAACAAACAACACAATTTTTAGAAAATTAATATATTATATAAATATAGGGATGGAACTAGTAATAAATAAACTTAAAACTATACTCCCTATATGTTATCCACATCTTGCTAATAGTAACGATAGGTTTGGACTTCGGACAGCTGTGAAAGAGAGAGATCGTGAAGAAAATAAATAAATATTTCTTCTTTTTTTTCAAAAATAGTAACCGTTATAAATTATATATATATTATGTTAAATATTTAATATAATAAATTGTTTAATAATTATTACAGTGTGTGATTAAATATTTTAATTCAATAAAATATATATATATATATATATATATATAGGGACTGACCATTGGGATCTGGAGCACATGGACCGTTGGATCAATCACCCGCCACCAGCAGGGAACATGGAAAAACAGATAATAACAAACAATTCAGAAGACAAAAAAATAAAATAAATAAAAATGATTCGAATTAATTAAATTAAATTAAATGAAGGGGTATTGGACGGTTATTTGGATTTTTCTTCGTCCCCATTTTTCCAAAATTTGAATTTTCAAAAACATTTTGAATGTGGGACTGAGTACCAACAAATAATAATTTAAATATTTTGGCATCTATATATGTATATATATATACATATATCTGTGTAGATCATGACGTGTCTTCTTCTACATATTTATTATTTTGTTTATAAGTATTTAATTTAGTCATTCGAAAGCAGAGACTTGGCCACAACAGCTAAGCAAAGTCATGGACATTGGTGTCTCTACGTGGACCATATATATATATATATATATAATAAAAATAATAAATAATACTCCAATCCGTCAAGCAAATATGTGTTCATTTGATCGAATATTAGATTTAATAAAAGTGAGTAATAATTATTATTTTTTTTACAGTAAAAAAAATATACAAAAAGTGTAATGATTTTTATTTTTAAAAAAATGAAAATATTTTTTAATGACAATCCAGAAAAAAAAATGAATATAAATTTATACGACGGATAGAGGGAGTATATACCTATATATATATATATGTATGTATATGTGTATGGTAGAATCTAGACAATCTTGGGTAAATGTTAAACATATGATATGTATTTATGTATATGTTTTAATTAAAAATATATATTAAAATAAATATATGTTAAGATAAAATATAATTTATTATAAATTGAATTGTGTGCGAATACACAGTGATGGAATTTTATTAACATTAGGTAAATTTATTTAAATCAAAATTTTACTATTTTTAAAACATAAAAGAATTTGTTTAAATTTTACTATTCTAAAAAGTATTTCTATATACATTATCTTTTTAGTAAAAAATAAATAAATAAATAAAAAGAATTTGATGTAATAGTTTTAAAAAAGAAATAATAAGCAATTTAATATTAAAAAATATTATAAATTAAATAAATAATATCAAAATTTAATAAATAAATATGCATGCCTATATTTTTCATGTTAGTTTAGTCGTCGGTTCCATTTATACCCTCTATTATTTCAATAAATTTTTATGTTAAATTTTTCTATAAAAATGCGAAAATATCCCTAGCGTAAAATTCATCGATAAAATTTTTTCAAACTCCGACAATACGTCCAATATCGGATTATCATTTTCAAAAGCTAATCTCCAATTAACAACAACCCTAAACCCTCAAATTGTTCTTGACCAAACCTACACATAATCTACCCAAAAAAATTAATAAATCACAATAAATGAAAAATAGATACATTTCAGATCACATCGATCAAATCAACGGCCAAGATTCGACCAGCTCACACACATTGGACTCCTCAAATTATTAACAAACCAAAGTCCAAAACCATCACCTTCAAGAAACCCCAATCTTTGACTTACTATTCAAAACAATATTGCCTTAAACTCTCCGTCAAATTCACTAGAATTTAACACAAAAAATAAAAAATAAAAAAAATAGTTATTGAATATAATATTTTTTAAAAAAATAATAATAATTAAATTCGTATAATAAACGGGATATATATATATATATGTAAGAAAAGAGCATGCATGTACATGTAAAATTATTACCATTGATCCAATTTCTCGGGGGTTGGAAATGGAAGCCGGTTCGATGGAGTTGCGACACTTTTGGCGACGAGGATTGTAAGTGCATCGAGAAGACGGGATGGGAAGCGCCGACACGATCGTCGAATGTCGAGAATAGGAGAATTAAGGATGTAAGAAAAATGAAAAAAGGGTTCATTTTTGGGTAAGACATATTGAATGAAGTGAAGGGCTTAGAGGTATGGGGAAAGGGTGGGTATTTATAGAGTGAAAAAATTAGTAGTCATGGATTTGGATTTTTTTTTTTTTTATTTTTATTATTATTATTATTATTATTTATTTTTTTTGAATTTTTAGGAATACTAGGATGATGGGTCTTCACTATTTTTTATTTTTTATTTTATTTTTTTATATTAGAATATTTATGATGGGTCTTAAATAAAAATTGATTGAAGAAAAGTCAATGGTCATTAAAATTAAAGTTTTGGGTACTTCGGGTGTGTTGAATATTAATATGTCATCGAAGAACATGGATGTTTTTTTTTTTTTTTTTTTATTAAAAATATAACTTATTTTGTCCTATTTTTTTGAATCTTTTTAATTTTTTAATAAATTAAAAAATAATATGTTTTATTAATTAGTGGAATATGTAAAATGATTTTTATATTTTTGTCTTACTTTATATATAAAATAATTTTATATGTAATATTATATTTGTAATTTATGTAGAAATTATAGATATTTATTTGTATTAATGTTTTAATAAATTGTATCAGTTGGAATGAGGGAGTATGAATTTTCTTTTAAATGTGATTTTAATTTTTTTATTTTAATAATATGTTGGGTGTGATATTTTATTAAAATATAAATATATTTTTCTAAGAATAGATGACAAAATAAAAATAAAACTAAACTCCAAAAGCACATATAGCATTTAATGTTGGGGGGCCAGTTTAGTGTTTTAATTTAATGTATTTTTTATTTGAAAAAAAAAAATATGTTAATAATATAAAAATTAAAATTTTGTGTTAATGTTAACGTTATGTTAAAAATAATATATATTATATTTCATGTCTGGTAAAAATTAATTAGGCAAATTAATCGTTCTTTTTAAATTTATATTTTCACGACTAATTTAATTGTGTTTGAAATATTTTGGTATTTTGAATTATTTTAAAAACTAAAAAACTAAATATTGGATTTGTTTATCCAATATTTTTTATGGTACAATTTCCTATAAATATTATCAAAAATATTATATATTTATATATATATATACATATTAACATAATATATATATAGTATATACTTAATTCATTAAAAAAATTAATTATTTAGTAAAAAAAATATTACTTATTATACTGTCAATACCACTCTCCGTTAACATAAAATGACATTTATCCAAAAACAACCTGTTAAATATAATATATATCAAAATACATACATAATAAGTTAAAATATTTTTGAAATATAAATATAAATAAAATAATATTTTATTTTAATTACTAAATCTAATATTTTAAATAAAATTAATTTTTATTGTAATATTTAGAATACGTTATATGTCCATCCAAAAATATTGAAATGTCATTTAAGTTTTATTTTATTCAAATTTATATATATTTTCTACTATAGTGCAACTAATCAATATGCAAATATTTCATCAACACGAAAATAATAATACTGATAATAATCTCATGTTCCAATCTGAATGGGCCATTCTGGATTATAAAGTAAACTAAAAATTGATTTATTTTTTTTTTTTTCAATTATAAGTATTCATTTTTTTATAATAAATTAAAAAATAATAATATTTGATTCATCATTGAAAATATATAAAATAATTTTAATACTTTTACTCTTGCAAATACAAAACAAATAAACACTTTTATAAAATACTAAAAGTTATAAGCATTTTGATATTAATTATTAACTACTTTTACTATGATATGAAATTAATAGTTTTAATAAAATATACGAAACTAATAGAAATGATATATTAAATTGGGATGGAGTGAATAATTTTTTTATTTTTTTTAGTGAAATTGTAAATAATTTTGATATTTGTTTTTTTTAATTTATATATAAATTAATTCAATATGTAATGGTATTTTTGTAATTTATGTTAAAAAAAATTAAAAGTTATTTTCATATTAATATATGATTATTTTTATTACTTCATCTGTGCTATAACAAACTATTCATTTTTGCATTTTAGTATGTCTCGTAACAAAGTATATATTTCCTTTTTAGTAAATGTACTGTATATTTAACATTACAAATACTCTTACAACTTACAATATATTACACAAATTTCATTACATTTATATCACACAGTACTAATAAAATTATTTTAGTCATTTCTATTTTATTCCTATTACATCCTAATATAATACTAATATTTTTAAAATTTTATAAAAAACATAAAAGAATACATAATTACGAGAGTGAGAGAATATAATAAAATATAAATAA